TCCTTCTCCTTTTTCTTCCGTTGTGAAGATGACCACGAGTCCCAGCCATCCCAAAATTCATGGTTCTTAGGTGGTGCAGGTGCTGTTTCAGGCTCAGGCTCAGGCTCAGGCTCGGGTTCTGGCCCGGGTTCTAGTGTAGGCTCTGGTGCAGGCTCGGTTTTAAAGATCTCTTGCCGTGGTGGAATTCCCTTCTTTGTAGCTTCTTTTTCCTTTTTCTTCCGTTGCAAAGGTGACCACGAGTCCCAATCGTTCCAAAACTCATGATTTTCTGGCTGTGTTGGAAGCGACTCCTGTTCCACTACGATTTCGGTTTCGATTTCTTGCAGAATCTCAGGTTCAGGGGTTGTTTCTTCGATTAGGGGAGGGATCCCTTTTTTAACAGCTTCTTTCTCTTTCTTCTTGCGCTGTAAAGGTGACCAACTCTCCCATCCATTCCAAAATTCATGATTTTTGGGTGGCTCTGGTTTAGACTCAGGCTCAGGCTCGGGCTCAAGTTCGGGTTCAGCTATTTCGGGCTTAGGGGGGACTTCTTCAATTAATGGAGGAATTCCCTTTTTGACCGCTTCCTTTTCTTTCTTCTTGCGCTGTGAAGATGACCAGCTTTCCCAGCCATCCCAAAATTCATGGTTTTTGGGCGCTTCTGCTGTAGGCTCTGGTTCTGGTTCTGGTTCTGGCTCAGGCTCAGGCTCAGGCTTTTGCTCTGGCTCGGGATCGGGAGCAATATTTTCAATCAATGGAGGTATCCCCTTCTTAACTGCTTCCTTTTCTTTCTTCTTACGTTGTGAAGCTGACCAACTTTCCCACCCATCCCAAAATTCATGGTTCTTAGGTGGTGCAGGCGCGGGCGCGGGCTCGGGCTCGGGCTCGGGCTCGGGCTCAATTGGAATATTTTCAATTAATGGAGGTATTCCTGTTTTCGCAGCTTCCCTCTCTTTCTTCCTGCGCTGCAGAGGCGACCAACTCTCCCAGCCATTCCAAAAATCATGATTTTTGAGCGGAGCAGGCAGAGGTTCCGGGTCGACAGGTTCTGGGTCAGGATCGGGTATTTCTATACGAGGCGGAATGCCCTTTTTCACTGCCTCCTTTTCCTTCCTTTTGCGCTGCAGAGGGCTCCAGGTGTCCCAGTCGTCCCAAAATTCATGGTTTTTGGGTTTCTCCGGCTCAGCTGCAGGTTCAGTGTCGTCCATAATCTCATTTTCTGGGTCAAGGGATTTCTTCTTTTTACTACCAATTCCCCAGCCGCCGAACCAATCATTATCAGATTGTACAGCTGCAGCAGGAGTTTGCAATGACGATGTAAGGTCTTCTGCAACACCTTTAGATTTGTCTTTCTTCTTGATAGCAGCGCTCCAGCCCCATCCTGTCTGCTCCTCAACCTCTGCAGCTTGGTCGGTATCCTTTTTGGTGCTAGTATCGAAAGCAGACGACATATCATCGCTTTTCGCCAGTGTGGATTCTGTCTCTTTCTTTCCTGCTTTCTTCTTATCTTTCTTTGATGTCGGTACCGCCCAGATGTTGTCGATAACCTGCTCAGGTTCAGGAGCTGTAACCGGATCTAGTTCCATGATGTCTTTCTTGTTGTCTTTCTTGGTAAATGCGGCCCAAATATCATCAGTCTCTGCAGGTTTTGCACCTTTCGTAGTATCGGAATCATTAGTCGCTTTGGTATTTTTCTTCTTGTCTTTGTTCGCCCAGGCTGCCCATACATCCTCAACGGGTTCTGTCGCAGTTTCACGAGCTGGTTCCTCTTTTTTGGAACTCTTCTTGCCCCAAGGACCCCAATCATCAGCGACAGGCTCCGGTATAGATTCTTCATGAAAGCCATTCTTTTTCTTCTTGTTCTTCCCTGCAGCAGTGAAAGTACCCCAGGCATCATCTTCATTCTTTTCCTCCTTTGCATTACCAACGTCGCTCGTACGAGACGTACCCAAGTCTCCAAAGTCGAAACCGTATGTCTTTTTAGTCTTCTTGGGATTGGCTAAATCCCAAGGATTTTCATCCTTGTTAGTTTGCTCCTTTGTGGCGGAAGCGTTATTGTCGAGTGAGCCAAATCCCCATTTGCTGCCTGTTGTCCAATCCTTTCCCCAGCCTCCAAAGCTAATACCTCCAGCACCGGATGTTTCTTTCGCTGGTTCAAAACTTAAATCTAATTGTGGAGCAGCATCATCAAGGTTGATTTCTTGAAATGTGTTTCCGGCAGATTCACCAAACGCGGGCTAGATTAATGGTCAGCGCAAAGCTCGTCTGTGAGGGGGCGCTTTCTTTACCGAGGCCTTTTTCTTTTTGTCCTTTTTTCCAGCTGATGTAAAGCCAGCCCATGTATCGTCATCATTTGCGCCATCGCCATCGTCTGCCCAGCTAAGATTATTTTCGGCTGTACTAGCAGCCGCAGCTTCCGCTTCCTCCTTTTTCTTTCTTTCCTCCTCTTCCTCCTCTTGCTTCTTGGTTTTCTTTTTGTTAGCAGAGGTCCAATCCCCCCAGCCATCGTCGTTCTTATCGCCATCGCCATCGTTGCCGCCATTACCTCCGCCTTCATCACCACCAGCGCTTCCGCCACCTACTGGAGCATCTATTGTCTCATCGCCCTTCTTTTGATCATCGCCACCTCCACCCGATGGCCCAGTCGCGGCTTTTTTGGCGGCCAGTTTGGCTCTTTGCTTCTTCCCATGCTGACGGAAGGTATTGGTACTTTCAAAATCGATCGAAGAAGCGGGTCTAGATTTGGAACTGCATTTGATATTCTCGGGATATGGTGGAGGTGCGGACTGGCAGCTGAATGGTTTTGCCTCAGCCAGTGCTGGAAGCGTGGAGTATTCGGGAGGTAGGTCATCGAGCGCGTCGCAATATGAAGGCGGAGGAGCACCGTAACCAGCAGGCTCCGAGGTTTGTGATATCAATTCATTGGCTAAAGCAACTGCATCGAACAGCGCCAAACGGAAAGAAGCAGACTCGCAGCTAGGGATTTGCTGCTCGACCCTCGCTTGATTCCTTTTCCAATCACTCCTTTCTGACCGCCAGGTATCTGACAACACTTCCTGTACCCCATAAACTTTAACATCTGTAGGGGCCACGTAATCCTGCGCCGATCGAGAATCGAGGGCGTCCATGACGTTGGGAGAGATTGTCCGACAAGCCGCGCGTCAACAGTAAGAAAACAAGCATTGAAGGCGACCAGTTATTGAAGACGGCGAGACGTTTCGTAGTATAGCGCACCCTTGGATTAAACAGGCGTCCTAACATCAATTGATGTCGAGAAAATGCGAACGATATGTGCAAATTACTTCGCTTTCCAAATTGCGATCGCGGTATCCAAAGAAGCAGTCCGGGGTATATCGTCCGTCGGGTCTGTAATTAGTATATAGAATACTCGATCGTGTAGCCGAAAGAAGCATTAAGGGGGACTAGGCCAGGACGCAGATGCTATATTATATTCGAGTCGTACAGGACGGCGCATGCCCAGCACAACTTACGGCTTCACTGTTCAGTAGATCTTTGTTGGCCGTCCTTCGATCGGAATGTGATGTATATTGTGGTTGTCAAGGATCGCCGGGATCCCGAATTCCTCTAGATGTTTCTCAGTAACCCTTTGCGAAAATACGCGAGAGAGAGAGAGAAATTTTCTTTGAGATATCAACGCCTGCTCATTCGTGGGCCGGAAGGGGCGCTGGAAATGGAGTGACATGATTAGTTAGCTAACTGAGGCTAAAAAGCATCAAACCAGTAAGGGGGGCAGAATGGATTCCGAAGGCCAAATGGTGTGGTGTGATAGTGGTAGTTGTGCTGAGGGGGCTGGGGATGTAGCAGCCAACCACAACAAACAGATGGTGTTGACGGGTATGGATGGAGGGGAGCCCCGAGCCTTCTGACTGGCAGCAAAGGAGATCACGCAGGCACAAGCCACTCACTGCGTCAACTCTTGCATAGAGCATATGCTGATTTTCCCAACCTATAGCACAAGCCAAGAATTTTGGGGGTCATATCGCTTATCATGAGAAGGAAAGCTCACTTATCAGTGACGACTTACCGGGCACCTCAAAACAACAATAATAACAAGGACCGCGGCTTCCACAGGCTTGCGCGCTGAAGTGCTCGTGCGTGCCAACTTCCTCTCTGCATGAAGAAAGAAATGAAAATATGAAAAGCAAGAAGGCTATTCCTTCCGAGCCTCCGGGGGTGGCGCTAAGGCTTCGACCATGGAATGATGGAAGTATGGTGTCGTTCGTAGAATCAAGAACTGCAATAGAGATGCGGAATGCGAATAAGGCTTGGGACTCCCGTGACTTCTGTCAGACAAACCCTTGGGAAGGTGCGGGGAGAAAGGAAGGAAGGGACCGGGCCGCGCGAACTACTTCCTTCCTACCAAGGGACGGGCTTCCGTATAGAAACAGACAACAACAAATAGCAAATCAAAGTGGTGTATGTCGAAATAGGTACTGCAAGCAATCAACGGACTGGGATTATTTTTTCTCGCGCTAGTATCCAAGAGTCCGACCCAGGTGGGCACTCTAGCTAGGCAATGAATGATTTGTGGTATACCGGCGACGGCCAGGATGTATAGATAGAAGACAAAACAGCAAACAATTGACCAAAAGAATGACAAGCAGAAGAAGAAAAGGACGAAGAATCACGAGTGAGTTCTTCCCAAGTAATGATCTTGCTATCTGCTTGTCGAGCAGCACCGTAAACCGCGGGCTATGGTAAACATTTAGAGATACTGAGGATTTGTTTTCCTACGAGGAGCTTTGTTTTTCGCTCTTGACACTGAGTCATTCATGATCTGGCAGCAACAGCACACACCACGCGCCTTATGGGTATTCCTTTTCGATCTCGCGTCACATCGAAATTTTCCTGCACACGCATTCATTGGATTCCAAATCCAGCCTTCTTCACCGCATCGAAGGCGATCCAGTCACGGCAGCCAATGATGGCTGACTTTGCATAGACGGATGACGCTAGAGACCAATCTGGTTAACCTGACCCGCTTCTGCTTCCCCGTTGCTGCCTGGGAGCCTGGGACATGCCGGATCTTATAAACCACGAGTCACTCACGCTGTTGAATGTTCAGCCTATCTGCTGCTGACAGACTGTATCTTCGGAGCACAAAGCGGCGACTGAGAATCTCTTTGGCATGAAATCGGGTACACTCTTCTCCTAAGACCCCAATCCGAAAAATTGGAATTGAGGTCCCATCCCGCCTGGATTGAAATGTCTAGGCATGGCCGGACTCACGGAGTATCTGCGGGTGATGCCAGATAGTCTGTCCGGCGAACGTTAATGCTGGCTCCGACATCATCGCCTCGACGATTGGTCTAATGGGGGTGCATGACCGGTTGAAGCTCACTTCAAACCGTCAGAGGCCCTTTGGCGCATCCCTGATTCGATAGGTGTGGCAGCATGCTTGACCTAGCGTCCGCGCCCCCAAGCTTGATGTGGTATTGGGCGCAACAAAACATCGAACTGCCAATCCTTGGGCTGTTCCTGGATATAGTGACTAATGACTGGGGGACAAGTCATCAACGACGCATCCAGGTATCTGATTGAAATCAAAGAAAAAATTTTCAGAAGCAGGATTGAATTAACGACATATCTTATTGATCAATTCGGATTTCTACTGTGATCCAGTAAAGGAAAATCACGTAGGCCCCTTTCTCTAATGGTGACCCCGAGGTTTGGATTTTTAAACATACCTTCAAAATCTGAAGAATGTCGTTTCAGAGTGAAGCAATGACAACTCATCGACGAAAGACACGATCTCACTGTGGATCCTGGCTTTTATGCTGATATTATGCAACCTGCAGCGGCCCTTTTCATGGCTGAAGATTTTGAGATGGAGTGAGGGATGTTACGATGGCATAGCTTACATCTGCCACTTACACCTATTTATCTAGCAAAGGGCTACCTCCCATTATGACGCTGAATCTTCTCCAAGGATCTTAAATCAAGTATGTGGTTACTATCTTTACTAGTTATCTATTACATCAAACTTATATGTCACACAGGACTCCACCTTGTACGATCCAACTAGCATACCAAATCTAACAATATAACATTACTTACATTTACCTAATGTCGTGCATCAAGAGGAAAAATAATATCAATGCATGCCTACCTAACCGTCCGAGTCCTTTAAGTTTTGTTTTCCATGCGGTTTAGGTATAGCGAACGATGATACATGGACCCATTCCAGTGTTTCCTTCTGACAGGTGCGCAGGCCATCGTCTGCTTCACCGCTATTATGACATGCCTAGAAAGGTGCCCGCGGGGTTGAGAGGGGTTGATATAACATCCAATACTCCGGCCTAGGTAAATCGCTGTTATATATATAGCACAAGTTATTTGCATACGTTTCTCATGCCAGCAATCAATTTTTCTTGGCTACTATCATCTGACTCACGTCGATATCGGAGCCGACAAAGTACTGGGCCACCGATTGAATAAAGAACAACATCTAATTAAAACACCCAAACTACAAATACATTCCCCACGGATAATACACACACACAGGACAAAGAAAGAAAGAAAAAAAAAAAAAAAAAAAAGAAAGGAAGGAAGGAACAGAGAGCGAGGCAAAGATCCACGGAGCACATAGAGTATCAATACATCAAAATAACACCTGCACGAGAAAGATTCATGACAGCGAGCTTCCCAGACGCTCTATCACCTTCTACCCCTCAATACTCAACATCTAAGCCGAGCTGGCAGTCTTTGATTTAGCATTCGACGAGGACCTGGGATCCTCGCCGTATACCTCACGGTATTCCCTGACATATCGTTCTTTGTCTTCTGCCGCCTTTTGCGAGTATGGCTGTTGTAAATTTTAGTTTCTAGGTCTCCCATACAGGAATCGACAAATCATATGTATATGCTTACCTGTTTCTCTTGCTCCGACGCAGCCGCCCACTCTGTGTGCACACGCTCACGCTTTTCTTGAGTAGACAGATGATCGAGATCCCCGCTTTGCATCCGCTCTCGGCTAAAGAAAATATATGAAGAAGTAGGCATCTTCACCAAACGATCGTCCTTGATTGCGGGATATTTCAGTGTGTTTTTTCTGTGTTCGGCCGTGAGAAATGCTAGACGCCTGCGGGCTCTGTTGGCCGTTTTTATCTGCAATGGAGTGTGCGAGTTCACCCATTCAGCATATATTCTATTCCTCTCCTGCATGGTCGCCGCCGTCTGACGCTCAAGTGCCTGTGGAGGTCATACCGTGTTAGTCGCTCCAAACTTTGATATAATATCATGACAGGAAGAGATATCCCATTACAGACCTCTCGTTCAGATGCAGAAAGGTTTCTATACTCTTCGGCCGCAGTTTGGAAACGGCTTCTTGATTCGTCCAACGAGGTAGTACCTCGCACTTTCTCCCTGATGAAAACAATCCAAGGCCTCAGGGTTTGAGATCTAGGCTCCTCCTTTCTCAATGACTGTAATTTGAGATCCTTGATTTCCTTTCGGAGCTTGACCTTCTTCTGTGCAGCTTTCTTCTTTTCCATTTGTTCAGGAGTTACTTCCTTCTTTGTTTTCTTTGTCTTCTTCGGCTTTTTGGCCTTTGTATCCTTCTTCTTTGAGCCTTCGGTCTCCTTCGGACCTTTGCGTGGTTTATCAGTAGCAGCTGCAGAGTAATGATATTTCTGGACTGTTGTGAAACGCTCAAGCGTGTAATTTCCAGTCTTGATCAGGGGGGCAGCGCGGTTTTCAGCTGTACGAAATACATGCTGGACATGGCTAGTGGCAAGTGGCACACGAGTCGAAAGGGTTGCTGTCTGCTGAAGCTTGTTGAATCGCTGAAGGACCCGACGGCCCCGACGAGCCGCAAAGATGAATTGCATTGTCGCAGCGGCGGGATAATGCTTTGTGACTTCTCCGAGTTGACAGTTGGATGAGCCCCAAGAGCGTGATATTCAACCACGGCGACAGGTACGAGGCAATTAGTTGCGCTGGCACAGAGCAACTCCCTTGCTGAAACTGAGGAAGGAGGCTGGGCAGTGCCGACCGCGTATTTTGGTTCGTTTGGATTCTTCCGAATCAGGTTAGTCAGCACGTGACCTTCTTCACTGGCCAATGACATCATGACTAAGGCTGCCAATCACAAGGCACTTTCTATACTATTTTTGAGTAGAGCATCATCGCATTATACTGGAAGATTGGACTATTATAGCTAGTAGCTAGCAACGAGAACATCATGAATATAGCTGTGAATCTCAGCACTCAACCAAACCGGACATCTCTGACAGTGCCCTCGTTGTCGACGTGAACATTGAGCCTGCAATGGAAACACGGTCTTAGTCTCAAAATACCATGAATGTATAGTTAAACGGATGTTACAACGTACCGGTCAGGTCGGTGATCCGCTGTTGTCATATCATCTGGTTTCAGTACACGATGACCAGAGGGCAGATCTTTTTTCGCGAATGACTGGATGAAGTACGCCTCAATTAGCCAACTGTGTATATAAAGCACAATTCTTGCTGGTTGATTGATTGACTGGGCTGAATCCTACCACTTCGTCGCTTGTCGAATCGGTCAGTTTCTTGCCAAGGAGCTTCTCAATCCAGTCAGTCTTCTGGTCCCCTGTCAGGGAAGAAGTGATCCCAGGAACGACGAGAGGCATGGCTGTAGATCGTATGTGTGTGTGTATATGTGTGTGAGTGAGTGAGTGAGTTTGACTGTGTGATGGGAATCATGAGAATTTGGAAGTATGGAATATCATGTATATATTAACTCCGGAAAAGAGAATGCAATGACGTCGGTCTTTTCTCCATGTGGCCTCGCGGGGGTGATGTCACCGCCCACGAAGATGCATGGATATCAAGCAGGCGTTATTTCTATTCAACCAACGCGCCATGAGATATGCCCAACTGCACTGCGCCTCCACCATGTCTGTGTGACTTGCAGGCATCCCCGACAGACAGGCCAATAGAAAAGGAATCACACCAGCAATGAATCTCCGTTCTCAAACGAGGTCAATATCGTGCTTCTAGCCTTCTGTAGTACGTGAGTTTCTATTGATAGAAAGAAGATCAGGCTAACTAACCTGCTCCGGACTAGCGCACAGAGCATGTTTTTAAGTCTTGTCAAGTTCGCAAGGCTGAACACTGAATGTGCCTCGTCCTCATCTTGGTCACAATAATATAATCCCCGGATCATTGTGTGTGGTATCTTAGGTATCTGGGGGAACGATCAAAACAAACGTAAAGAAGGGTAATCAAGGCATTTAAGCGCCTTAGTAGCTATGTACTCGGCCCTCAGTGCTCCAGAGCGAAATAACAAGGCCATCAGCACTAAGTTAGTAATTGATTCGTCGTGTATATAACGTAACCGGTAAGCCACCCGGCCATGTAAGCGACCCGGCCACCTCCGCCCGGAAACGCGTTCTATTTCGATCTTACAACTTCAACGCGTCAATATGCCACCAATTCGCAAGAAAAATCCTTCAAAATCAGCTGAATTAGAAGGAAAGATTCAATTAGCTATTTCCGATTTAAAAAATGGGAATATTCAAAGTATTCGTGAAGCTGTACGGGTTTATACTATCCCTCGTACAACTCTCCAAGACCGACTGAAGGGAACACAATATAAACATACAAAACGCGCCAACAGTCATAAATTCACTCAGTTTAAAGAGGAATCGCTTATTAGATGGATATTAGATCTAGATAGGCGAGGATTACCTCCCCGGCCATCTATGGTACGAGAAATGGCCAACTATCTTCTTTCTCAACACGGAAATCAACAGGTTGGAGAAAAATGGATTTATAACCTAGTTCAACATCGCTCAGAGCTCAAATCGCGATTTTCTCGAAGATATAACTATGAACGTGCCAAATGCGAAGATCCAAAGATAATCCAAGAATATTTTGACCGCGTACAAGAGGCTATATTAGAATATGGCATCTTATCAGAAGATATCTATAACTTCGATAAGACTAGCTTTGCTATAAGACTCTGTGCAACTGCAAAGGTTATTACTGGGAGCGATCGATATGCCCATCCAAAGCTATTACAACCTGGCAATCGAGAATAGGTAACTTCAATTAAGGCAGTTAATTCTACTAGATGGGCTCTGCCTTCATATATAATTTTTAAAGCAACAAAATATATGCAAGAAGGCTGGTTTGAGACTCTTCCAGATAATTGGAAAATCAATATTAGCGACAATAGATAGACAACTAATAATATTGGCATGGATTGGCTTCAAAATCACTTTATTCCTCTTACAAATAGCTGTACAATAGGAAGATATCGAATGCTGATTCTCGATGGCCATGGAAGTCATTTGACTGCGGAATTTGACCGTACATGCACTAAGAATAATATTATTCCAGTCTACATGCCTCCACATTCCTCTCATCTCTTGCAGCCTCTCGATATTAGCTGTTTTGCAGTTATAAAGCGGAAATATGGACAGCTTGTTGAGCAGCGGATGAGGCTTGGATTCAATCACATCGACAAAATTGATTTTCTTACTGCATTTCCAGAGGCCCGTACGATGGCATATAAAGCTGAGACTATTCGGAAGGGCTTCATAGCCACTGGATTAGTGCCATATAATCCAGATCAAGTCTATCAACAGCTTACTGTTCAGCTTAAGACTCCTACACCTCCCCCAAGTCGATCGAGTAATACTCAATCATCCTGCTTACAAACACCTCAAAATCCACGCCAATTTAAACGTCAATTGAGTACAATAAAAAGGCGTATAAGCCAGCGTACAGGAAGCCCATTAAGTTCAGTTGATGAGACAATTGATCGGATGTCTAAGGCGTACGAAATGACCGCGAATAGCCTTATACTTCTAGGGAAAGAAGTTCATGATTTACGGGCTGCACATGAGAAGGAGAAGCAAAAACGCAGACAATCTAGGAAGCAGATAGAACATGAGCAAGGAATTACTAGAAAGGAAGCTCAGGCGCTTGTACAAAGTCAGATTAAGGCATCTCAAAGTGTTACTACTGCTCCGGCTGAGCCTGAGCTGCCAGCCTCGCAAGCGATCGTACGCCGCCAATTTAAGTGTAGTGAGTGTGGTATTCTCGGGCATAAAAGGCCTCAATGCCCTCATCGTACTAGTAATTAGTTTTTTTATATATAATTATTATTTTGGGTTGAAAATTGTGATTAGAAATTCATATAGAACGCGTTTCCGGGCAGAGGTGGCCGGGTCGCTTACATGGCCGGGTGGCTTACCGGTTACGTTAATGAATTATACAAAGGCCCGAGGCTGTACTCCGTACGACTCAGGCCAAGTTCAGTAGAAATCTGTACTCCGTTCCCGTTAGGCTTCGCCTCGCTTACCAGCTCCACCCAACCCGTGGCTTAGGGAAGAAAATTGCCAAAGTGTTGGCTCGGACATTTCTACTATTTGAAAGGGTTGAAAAACGTGGTTGGTGAGCTAAAATTAACATCTCGCAAGTTGTCCAACAGGGAGGGCCCTGACTCTGTGCGAATGGCAATGCTCTCAGCCTCAGGTGCACCGTGCTAGTGCTTCTAGCAATCATTAGCGGTAGTGCTATGTGGTAATAGTCTGTTGGGATTGAAATTGCATCTTGACCGAAAAATATTTATTTATCTATCTCATTTCCAATCTTCAATTCAACCGATTTGATGAACAATGCCGGCAGATGAATAAGAATCCCATATATATGTCTAAGACTTCCCCCTAACAACTATCTATGACATCCTCCAAATACACAAAGTACCGGATTTCCAGCATCTGATACCCCAAAGCGCTTGACAGAAAAATCAGACACCGAGCCATGGCGTCGCTCGCCGATTCGTCTCCGAGCCTGGTATCGACTATAAATATGAGGGATACACAAGACTCCAACGACAATCAAGTTCCCATTGCGGGCATTGTGGTTGGATCCGTCATTGGCCTCGTCCTTGTCATTTGCATCGTATTATATCTTTTTAGCAGCGACAATTTCTTGAGGCGTCGCGGTTGGCTTAAAATTAGAGGGGGCCCGCACAAAAGCGATTCGCAGCATCTCAGCCCGCCTGATGACCAAGAGTCATTAACAAAACGCGCCTCATTTGTTTCCGAGCGTGAATCGATGATGTTTAGCAGAAGCCGTGCGTCTTCGCTACAGTTTGCCGTGGTCGAGGATATGGATTCGCAACGGAGAATGTCATCGCAGGTCTATGTTTTACGAGGCGAGCAGTATGTTCCCCTGCAGCAAATGGACACGGAGCGGAATTCTCTATTGAGTCATGATATGAATCGAATGTCAGAAGTCGACATTTCCTCTATCGATAATGACCACGGTAGCATCCCTGTTGTCGTCTCGCCTCCACCAGAGAATACACAGACGAATCAACAGCTTGGAAATGTCTCAAGAGCAGGGATTATCAATCACTCGGAGGTCGTATCAGAAGTGTCAACTACACACGCTCCCCGATGATATCACGAATGAACCACGAATCTCGAAATCGATAGCATAAGCTTCGTCAGTCGGCTTTGGCTTTCTTTTCTCCGTTCAAATGGGGGCATCGACACTAGATGTCGGGAATTTGAATGGTCTTTTCTTCTTAGCTCCTATATAGATACCCCCCTGGTGTGTATGAAAGAGAGACCTTTCATGTGATGACGCCCACAGAGCTTGTAATTTACTGAGATATAGATGACCATCATATCCACTTATTGAGAGCAGTCATTTGCATTCCTGCCATACTTCAATTCACGACAAGTTGTCCGTAATGTTATTCAAGGAAGCCAAATCGATTTCAGCGTGCCCACTGGTTTACTTGATCCATAGATACGCACGTTGATGGTGAGTAGCTAGTTAATGCACGTTCTATGCTCATTCAATGGGCTTTCGTGGAGATGACAATTTTTTGATGTTTCGTAGACATCGCTCCAATCGCCGCCCGCGTTCCTTCTCTTGCACAACGGCTGCCCGTACAAAGGCTCGAATGGCATCACGTCCAACCTTTTCCCGCCAGGAGGTCCAACCAGCCAGCTCACTAACTACCACATTCTTATTCCATGATATTTCTCGTGACAATCGTGATGCCTGAGCTTCCGAGTCATGGATTTTTTGTTCTAGATCTCGTAAATTCTTTTGCCTCGATTCCTCCAGAACTGAAAGATTGAGGTTGAATTTTCTCGGCAGTGACGACGATGCGAGTGATGTGCGAGACCGCGACAAATTACGATTAGTCGACGAAAGAGTATTCACAAGCCTGCTGGGACGGGAAAGAGCATTTAACACTGCTGTTGTTGTGCTTTGTATTGATGTCATGGTTTTGAGAAACTGGAGGAGAGGGGAAGAATCCGATGACGATGTGCTCATAGTTGTGGCATAACGGGCGAATGCGTCGACGTGTGATTTTGGAAGAGCATTGGTTGGGGCCTTTAGTGTTGATAGGCTAGATGAACAGAGACTGGCAGCATCTCCAAAGTCAGATACCGCATGTTGCAACGAGTGTCCACGTCGAATGATGCTACGTGTATTGGCATGGACAGCCCGAACAACTTCCTGAGCGTGCGCAACAAATTGCTCCGTGTCCCTCAGGCCATCTGGCGTGATGGGCTCATAGTCATCATATATGCTTTCGTAAAGCACAGAGGCTTTGCGTTGAGATCGATCAGCCATCATGTCGGGCTGCAATTCTGGCACGAGAAAAAATTCCCACAGCATTTCATGTGTAGCAAAAGTTGGATGTGTAAGTAGAATTCGCAGGAATTGATCAAGACGTCCCTGCATCTCATGGAGAATCGCACGAGAGGGTTTGGAATGAATTTGAAACGGGCTTCGAGCCTCAGAGATATTTGGGATGTAGGATGCGGGATGCTCAACTGATAAACATTTGACCAAGTTTTCGAAGTCGGCCAAGGACCGTCGGCATGTAGTGATGGTATAAGTGGTTGTTCCGTTCGTAGCGGTTGGGCTAGAATCCTCCTGTGCACCCGACTTCAAGATAAATCGCACTGTCGCGTCCTCGACGAAAAGCGAGCGCACGACAGTAGTGATTCGACCTGTGATATCCCCGGCGACCGGAGGACCATTCAGAAACAGTATCATGTCATCAATCCTGTTTCGCACTTCATCATCCTTTGCAAGTTCAATAGCTGTCAGACCACGGCTCTCTGTGAGATGGGTATCAACTCTAGGATCTGCGAAGAGTTTTCGCATCATATCTACTCGTCCATATTTGCTCGCCATCATCAGCGGTGTGAATCTTTTCTCGTTTGTAGCATTCGGGTCGCAGTCACATTGTTCGAGAATCCGTGTGATAATCGAAGGGTCGCTAACGATATGCAGCAAAGTATTACCTTTCGAATCAACGTGATCATCTAGCCGGAGAGGCTGTCCATCATCTTGTGCTTTTTGTGCTACCGTCAGAGCTTCATTTACCATGTTCTGATAATTGGAATGATCGTAACATCTGCATAGGGCAAAAAGCGGCGTTTGCCCATGCTTATCCTTTTTCCCCCATGGCAAAAGACTTCCCAGCGTAGACATCAGGTAAGGGGCACCAAACAAGTAGTGCGCAGCTGTGCGACCCCTTATGTCTTCCTTCTCTAGATAGCTACTGATTGTATGCAAGTCTGCCTCAGCTAATAAAAAATCCGTGATGATATTGATCACCTCTCTATTGGCGTGTTGAACAGCTGCGCTCAATAATGTCGTGCCATCGCGATTTGTGTCCCCAAGGATGACATCAATTGCGTAAAATTCTCGAAGGCTTAAAAGATATCTTAAGGCTCCAGGCTGATGACTTTCAACCGCCATCATTGGTACCGAATCGCCAGCAGGATCATGGGTATGACTTAAAGTTTCAATTGAAGTGTCTCCTTCAATACCACTAAATGTCGAAGCAATGGTTGTTGTTCTTGAGAGCAATGAAACCGCCGATGAGCCTGATATACTGCCGACGTCCATGGAAACCCTTTTCCGGGGCTGTTGTTCAGCGTCAGGTAATGTTGAACGGGCCCACGTTTGAAACGGAAACACATGAGATAAAGGCGGACGACCAGGTTCTGATTCGATATGTTGTTCAGGTGGGTTCCCATTGACTAACGCAAATCTGATAGATTGTTGTTCACCCTGAGGCACGTCAGGTTCTTCTTCTCTGGGTTGCATGTCCGCATTCGGGGCGATATGTTCATCTATGGGCTCTCCATCATTTTCATCGGGTTCCAAGATGGATCTGATGTCTCTGGTCTTGCCAGCTTTTGTTGCTTGCCATAGTCGCCTATTTCGCGCGCTGGCCCTTCGAAGCGGAGCAGAATCGCTCACTAAATATGCCAGGACCGCCTCAAACGTACTCAGAGCATACCCCATCTCTCCACTTTCAACATCATCTACAAAAATGAAGTGTTGCATATAGAGAAGCCGAGCTTGAAGTTGACGGACTTGAGACCTAATCACTACAACGAGAAGCAAAGATACTAGAATATCAGCATTCACTGTAAAACTGGGTGCCTGCTTTTCCGATGATTCGAACGACATCTCTGTTCCCTTTGAGATTGTGACGGCCTTGATAGTCGTCAAAAGTACTTCAAGCATATCCTGTGGGCAAGTGGCATCATTCATCTTTCGGAATTCTTCCACACCTCTAATGAGCCGATCCATCAACACTTTTTTACCAGCAAAGCCTCCTTCTATGGTGATGCCAACCTGAGACACGTCGATGTGCTCAATTTGTCGGATCCTTGTGTCGAGCTCAGCATCATCCGTTCGACGAAAATTGCAAAGTCGAGGGAATAATAGCGTATCGTGGACTTGCTGTGCTATGTATTTCTCAATCAATCGCTCCACTAAAGGGCCAGTTAGTTCGGTAGTTGCGCCGAGAAGTGAGAGCTGTTGCTTGTCAACTAAACGGAAGAGGTCAATTGCTGCTGTTACAGCCGTTTCTAGACTGCGTCGCATAAGATCTTCATCGTCTGCGAAGTATTCAATAGAGTTGAAAGGTAATCCATCTATTTCCAAGGCGTCGCTTACAGACTGCCATTGTTCGCCTTTTATTGAGGATACCGGTGATTGCGATGGAGGAGGAGGTAGGGGCTTCCCAAGCTCTTTGCCGAATTCCCGAAATAATCGATCGAGCCCTGGCTGCATCTGTCTTGAAATCATTGGGAAATGTGAAAGGAGCTCCCCAAATGATTTGATATCGCGTTTTTGAATATTTGAAGCATCTCCTGTGTTTTGATCAGCTGTTGTTGCGTCGACCACATAAACGCTTCCTGGTGGGACTGCTGGTATTATTTTTGCAGGGTCGAAGGTTCCAATCAGCGGCCTGGAGATATAATAGATAAGCCATGGCTGGGAGTTATGATTCGGTGTATAATAGAGGAAATCGGACAGAAGTTGTGCTTGGCAAAACGATTTGAATCCTGGCAACATGTAAGCGATGCGATAATCCGGAGTATATTGCGAAGACCAACCTTTATTACTATAGACCGAGCTTTCCTTGACTATCACCGTGCGACCATTGACAGTTGTGACTTGTCTGGCTTTTCCCCGTGTGTCTCTGACGTTTGAGGCATCGGTCTTATTCGATGCACCGGACGGGCCGGGTATCCGTAGCACATGGCTCCCAAGGAATTCTTCGGAGGAAACGAGGTCGGAATAGTATGCGTTGGTCTCTTTGTCTCGTGATCCAAATAGCGATTCTGTCGTGGGAACTAGAAGCACCTATTGAGAATTAGAAATCGCATGAGAACTTGGAGAGCGTTGCGCGTACATGATTTTCAACCGGGACGCACTGTCCGGGGACGGTGCTCCGAAAGAAGGCACGGATGAATGGATTTAAAGGGTGCATCCGAGCAACATTGGCAAGCCTGTACAGAAGCTCGTCAAGCTGCGCTTGGGCGGTTTGAATGAATGATGTTGCCTAACAGCCGTGAGCACCAGGGGTTCAAGGCAGTAAAAGTGCCGGCAAGGCAGTGTATTCAAGTAGCTTGAGCCTCATAGGGGGGAACCAAGAGTTCTAGTGTTTGATAAACAAGCGGTCCTGGGAATTGAAAAGGAGCATGGCAACGAGTGGTACAGACGATGAATGATGCCTGTTCTTGAAGTCTTGTTTGACAGCATGAATGATGAACATCACATGTCACGCTAGTCCACGCTAGGAATACGCCCATATTTTCCACCCGGAGCCGCCTGAGTGTGATGAAGACGTGTAATATTCTTTACCAGCAACAGTACTTATTATCACACAGCTAATATTCACTACTTCACAAATAATACATGGAAAAATACAGATTAGAAATATATGAGGCCCTCCCGAGTTCTTGTACAAGTAGCCAGCGTCCGTCCTTCGTCCGGAAAGACTTATAGGTATCAAGAATTGCCAAATGGCCTATGCATTTGGAAGCCCTGAAAGAGCGGTTGAAGTGTCCCCTCTCTTTAACCAAGTCTGCGCACTTGTCTGCTCCTTGTACCACCGAACTTTATTCTGGTAGCGTCGGTTACGCGTGAGATCAATGGGCGAACGTTTCGCCCTTCGTTCCCTAACAACACTTTGATAAAGGCTTCACGGCCTAGCCCAAACCCGCGAAATACGAGTCCGATTTTCGAGATTTCATGCAGCAGGCCCTTCTCTTGAATTTGTGCGAAAACATGCGAAGACAACTGGAAGGCCGGATCGTAGCCCGATCGATGAGACTTGCGGAAACCAAGGCTACCGCACCCAAGAGACATTATAGGATTTCCATTCGGCTTTGTGAGTGTGATTATCGTGTTGTGTTTGTGGGCGTAGACATGTAGGCTATAGGGAGGTGCACGGTTGCCATACGCTGAATAAAATTGCTCCTGTCGAACGCGCAATCCATCGATATAAGAGGAAGCCTTCTGGCCATTGGCCTGGTTCCTTGCATTCAACACGTTCAGGATGCCTTGAACTCCTTGTGAGCCGCTTGTCGACGCCTCATTAGCGGTCGGTTCGCTTGGTTTCAAAAGGTCGCTTTCCCTCTGACGACGGGTGAGGATCGCATCTCTGGTTGGATTAGGAGGAGCGCCAGAAGAAGACGATGTCGAAAATCTCGAGGTGCTCTGGATATTTGACAGTCGCTGCCGGCTGCTATGAGTGAACCATGGCATAGTCTTTTCGAAGGTGTTCCAAAGCCGGGCCCTCATGATGGGCGATATGGAAAGAAGCCGGGAAGACGGTGTAGGTGCGATTCGAAGTTCTATTCAAGTAGACACGATCTTTGTAGTCCTAGTCAATCAAATGAGGGAATGTAATCAAGTCGAAGCTTGCCAACAGCATGCAAGCATTGAACGTAGCAAGAATGGCTCGTTGGAGAATTTCAGACTGCGGCTTGCGGGTAAAGACAATTCTTCGACCCGGGTCTTGGCGCCGAATTATCGGAGTCTAGCTTTAAGGATGAATATTTTCTCCGCCACAACCCCGTTGGTTTACACCACGAGAACTCTGTGACCATCCTCGCATCTTTGTTGTGCATTTTCTCTGAGCCGTGTATTTGCCCTTCGAGCAGTCACTGTAACGGCCTAGCTGGCTTGAAATACGCCCTTTTTTCCCTCGCCGAGGATGATTCAGACTGCAAAATTCAGTCCGGCGCGGACAGTTGCGCTTCTACGAGGGCGAGTGTACCTTTCGCGGACTCCAAATGACCAATACAGCAGACTTAGCAGCCTCTTAAGCGATGCTCAGTCTAGTTTGCAAATAAGCCATAGCCCGAAAATCGCGCCTCTGTCATCAACATTGATCTCAAGACGATTCTTACACTCGACCTCAATTTGCAGCCAGCAGCAAAAGGAGCAATCGCATACGAAACAGCAAGAAACAAACTCCCGCTCCTCCGAATCGGGATCCGAGGACGATACGGGGAACAACAAACAGAACGAAGGCGAATCTTCTTCTCAAGAACAGAAAAAGAAGGACGCTCCGCCGCCGCCGCCACATGGTGACAAGACTCCATGGCAAGTTTTCACAGAAACTCTGCAGTCCGAGTTCAAGAAATCAAAAGAGTGGGAAGAGTCTACAAAAGCCCTTGCATCATCTGCTCATCATTTCACTGAGAGTGAATCTGTAAAGCGCGCCCGTGCTGCGTATGAAGCAGCTTCGACTACCGCAACATCTACTACATCGTCTGCTCTAAAGTCTACGGGAAGAGCTATTGGACATGGAGCAGCTTGGACATGGCAGACTCCAGTCGTCAAAGGACTTCGAAAAGGGGTTTCTGCAACCGGAAAGGGCATTGAAAAAGTGACTCGTCCGGTCAGAGAGACTGAGGCTTACAAGACCGCTGTGGGAGGTGTCAAGGAAGCTATTGACGATGGTAGCAGTTCCCGCTATGGTGGGTGGATAGAAAAGGAGGAGCGTCGCCGCCAAAGGCAGCTCCGTGAAGCAAATGAGGCGAAATCTGGCCGAACGACCAAGGCTGAAATTATGGAAGAGGACCCCAAGTACGTATTGATTGTCCTCTCATTGGATGCTCTTTCCATTTACTAATTAGATCACTCAGTGCTGGAACGAGCCTCACCGTTCATAAGGACTCAGCTTGGAAAGAGTCCTGGAAAGACTTCCGCGATAAAAGCCCTGTGATGCAGAGACTTTTCTCGCTCAAAGATACATACAATGAATCCGAAAACCCCCTTATCTCAACAGCACGCAGTATTTCAGATCGCGTTGCAGGTTTCTTTGCCGAAAATGAAACCGCGAGGGTCATCAAAAAATTCCGTGAGATGGATCCAAGTTTCCAGCTCGAGCCATTCCTACGAGAGATGCGTGAATACATATTACCGGAAGTCCTCGACGCATATGTCAAGGGAGATGCCGAGACTCTCAAACTCTGGCTATCTGACGCACAATTTTCTGTATATTCCGCATTGGCACAGCAATACACAACGCTCGGCATGAAATCGGATGGTCGTATCTTGGACATCAGAGGAGTTGATATTGCCAATGCTCGGATGCTAGACCCTGGTGATATTCCTGTCTTTGTGATTACATGTAGGACCCAAGAAGTCCACGTCTATCGCAACGCCAAAACAAACGAACTCGCTGCAGGAATGGAGGACCGAGTTCAGCTTGTCACCTATGCGATTGGCGTTACCAGGATCCCCGAGGATGTCAATAACCCAGAGACACGAGGATGGAGAATGATTGAACTGCAAAAGGCGGCAAGAGACTATATTTAAAACGTCGGCTTCAATTCATCACGGTATTCAAAGGATTTGATTCTCAAAAGTCTCCAGTCACATTATCATCAGCACCTCTTGATTGATTTCCACTCATACGTTTGTAATATATTGACTTTGCATACTAGATATGGTTCGGGATGGAGTATACTGCTTCAGAGGAATAATCTTTCTCTAATTCAACTGGCGCCAGCCTTCGTTTCTATCACCCATGTACTTTTAAAATCTTCAATCTACTTCGTGAGATGTCAGCGCGGTTGCATTGAATTTTTTCTTCGTTTCTGTGTATTTATTCCTCTGATCTCCTCTCATGAGTTGTGCAATAACTGGCACTTGGGTTTGACCACCCACTTATGCATTTTATGCTCAAGGCGCCCCGAGCGGCGAAGAAAAGAATACCGATAGCAATTATTTTCGTTATGTTTTTTTTTTTTTATTATTTTTGGTCCCTATACCTCTTCTCAAATAAAGCGAGAATCTATATGGTGTGGATGTTTTTCTATACATGTGTGTATATTCTACATATTATGTCCCTACCCTAGTTTTTCTTTTTCTCTTTCCACCACCCTACTCTGTGAATACTTCGAGTTCCGTACATAATGTGCACCTTAAAAATAGTTCATGGGAAGCATATTGCCGATATAACAAATAGTTTTTATGTTGTTTTCTGCAATCATTATTTAGATGTATCCTTGGTTGTTGATACTATATAGTGGTCTGCTTGGACACAAAATTCAGCTAGTCACAACAAGAATGATGGCCTTCGTGAAGGATATCATATTGTGCTTCCAAGAGACTTTTCTGACGGCTTGTTCCGCAAAATTTCTGGGGTTTGACGAGACTTAGGGGAATCATTATATAGCTGTCTATCGTAATCTGAGTGCTAGTACCATTGAGTACAACGTCTGAATCGGTCCAGACCATAATCATCATTCGTGAACTACTCAAGCAATAGACGAATTATTGGTTGCTCCCCCCGCGACCGGCTCCTCCACCCATCATATTCCTCGCCCTATGACGGTGCAACTGGTTAGTTTGTGGTCGTTAGATAGGCCGATGTTCAGAAAGGTACTTACATCTCAGCAAGTGATGGGTCACTCATCAGCGACGACATGTCTGGCATACCGCCTCCACTGCCGAAATTCTCCGCCATCTGGCGAACACGAGGATTGCTCATGAGGTTGTTCAGCATGTCGGGATTACTCATCAGGCTCTGGGCGGCGTTCGCAAACATGGGGTTACTCATGAGCGAGCTTAGGTCAGGCATCCCGCCACCTCCGGCACCACCTCCGAACATACCTGCCAGAGAAGATAGATCTGGCATTCCGCCAGGAGCTCCCCTAGAAGCTCCAGAGGCGGTATCGATTTCTTCCGATGGCGGTGCAGACTCTGCACGCTTCATTTCCTCCACTTTCCTCCGTGACGTCTCCAAGCCGCGCTTCATGGCGTCGCTTCCGCCATTGCCTTCCGCCTCAATTCCCTTCTCGTACGCTTCCACGGCACCCTTGGCATCGCCTAGTTCATAGCGCGCAAGTCCTAGTCGGCTCCAAGCTCTGGCATACTGAGAATCGACATTTACAGCAAGTTCAGCGTCCGCGGCAGCCTTTGCATGTTGACCGGAGGCTGAGTAAGCAGCGGCACGGTTGGAGAGATAGATAGGGTTCGATGGAGCGAGCGCGAGAGCTTGAGTATACAAGTCGATAGCTGCATCATATTCCTTACGGCCCATAGCAGCATTCCCCTCGGACTTCAATTTATCTGACTCAGGGGTGGCATTGGACTTGGGTGGTGCAGTGGGCTTGGATTCTTCAGCTTGGCTACCTGCAGCGGCCCCTGCGGTTTTGCCCTTAAGCTTTTCGTAAACGCTGTATATGCTGGAAAGCGACTGGCCACCTAGAGCATCCTGGACTGCTGCGTTGTCACTCGGGTCAACTCCAAAAGTCTCGGCGATGCAATTCTGAGCGATTTCAATGGAATCGGCATCGTCCGCTGTCAGGGTACCGTCTTTCAAACTGGATCCCAAGAAATCGATGATGGCGAGCGCCAAGCGCTTTTTGGATTCTGTTGGCGCCTAGAGAGAGCTATCAGCAAAAGTATCATCGGCAGATACATACAAGCAAGGAACATACCATGGTGAAGCGCAAAATTCCCCGGCGATGTAATAATAAGTGCTATTGGCGATGGGAATGTTTCGATGGGGAATGCGGGGAGTTGCTTATATTTACTACACGGGTTATCACGTGACTGGCCGTATAGTATCCTCTAGATGTTTCGGCCCCGGACCTACGCAGCTGCCTGCATTGCTGACACGTGATTCCACCACCAGCTCCTGACGTTCCCCGACATAACATACCTACTTGCGATGGTCCAACCGTCTAAACACTAGAAGCTGTTGGAAGTCCAGCTTTGGAAATAACCGATGAGGCATGGCAGTCAATTGCAATTGTTCTAGCCAATGCTCGACCCCGTAAGATCTCTACCGGAGATGACTCGAGGTGGCTATACCCAAATTCGCGTGTCAATCGACTAGTGAGCCATGTACTGGCTGAATGGCGTCCCTCGGGTGTACGCGGTCAATGGGCCTAGCATATTCCTGACACCTACGAGTGACAATGAGGTGTCCGGAGATGAGCTGCGAGAAGACGAGCGCGTTCAGCATGAGACCCGCGAGGCCTCGCGGGGCGGCCAGGAACCCAACACAGCATGGGCGGAGGAAGTTATTCATGGCCTTTGCGTTTCAAGAAATGGGCATCTATTTGCGACAATGACAGAATCTTCCATCTCAATCTGGCAAACAAAGGTAATTCACTTCCTGTTTTCCTACCTATTCATTTGCTAAACAATTACCTAGCCTACGGTCGTCGTAGCCGCCGTCACTCGTTCCAATACATCCTTGAGTACATACGGTCCAAACGTATCGCTTCAACTTCACCCTGACTCAACAATTCTCGTTGTGCAAACCCAGAAGGGATACCTACTCACGTATACGATTGCGTCTGATTCTAATGCTCGAGTCTACCAGCAACAGTTCGATCACTCCAACCCGCATCGTCGCCAACAGCTTGCCCGTCATTTTGGCAGCGAAGAATTTAACGGAATTAGAGATGTTAGCATTCGTTTCAGAATGGCTATCAAAGTAGAGTCCGGTATTGTGAAGGCGCTGGCCTTGGACAACGAGCTTCTTGTGGCTACTCTCAAGCCCGCAGCCATTCAATGTATTCGTTGGACTCCAGATAAGAATGGCACCCAGACGACTTCGGAGTTATTGAGCCGAATCCTAAGCACCCCTAAAAAGACTATAGTAACTGAAATGGTTTACGACCGAGCTATGAGTCTTCTGATATGGGTCACTAGCGACGGGCACGCATTCACTGTGCAAAGAAAGTCTGACACCCCGGAACCAGAACAAACCGCCAAACTGTTCAAGGGTCACTGCTTTCATACTCCCGCAAATGATGAAAATAAGGCCATCAGAGCAGCCGTAAATGCAAGGTTCTCTCTACTGGCTGTTAGTTGCACTAATGGCGAGATTCTAGTGTACACAGCAAAGGACTACGTAGGAAATGTAGTTCTTTCATACAGACTGCAGCCACCTGCCTCGACTACGGTCACCGGGGATTTGACATTCATGAGTTATTCGCCTGACGGCTATTGCCTTTTTGCAGGCTATGAAAACGGGTGGGCAGATTGGAGTGTCTTCGGCAAGGCTGGAGGTAACAGCTTCACAGCCGACCGTTCTATGGCTGAGAGTAACTCAGAAGATTGGTTGACGGGAGTGTCTATGGGATGTTGGATAGGTGGTGGCTCTGATATAATACTGTCAGCCCAGAAAGACCGCCGAATATGGTTATTAGAAACAGCGCGCAGTGCCTTGACAGGCTGTTATTCGCCAGCCAATCTGTCCAGAGCGCTCTTACAAACTGGGACCGAGATCATTCTGTATCGAGGTCACGATCTACCTGATCTTATGACCATATCTGGGAAAGACTCTTTATGGCATCATGCTCAATATCCCCCAACATATCTCCACGCACAGTGGCCTATCCGAGCTTGCGTTGTGTCCCAGGATGGCCGATATGTGTCTATCGCAGGACGAAGGGGTCTTGCGCATTACAGTGTTACTAGTGGACGCTGGAAAACATTTGAAGATCCGAAAGCGGAAAATTCATTCGCAGTACGAGGTGGCATGTGTTGGTATGGCCATATTCTGATCGCAGCTGTTGAGAGCAACGGTTCATACGAGGTACTTTGGTTCTAGATCTATACTGTTAAGCCTTGTTCTCGGACTGACATGGTTTCTAGCTACGCTTGTACTCGCGAGAGCTATCTCTAACAAACCACAACGTCCTGCACACTGAGTATTTGCCCTCACCTGCTGTTTTCATCGGGCCTTCTGGTGAGGATTCACTTCTCGTCTACACTTATGACAATATACTCTATCATTACGTCATAAATTCTACGTACGGCAGCGTCTCTCTAGTTCCTGTAGGACAGATAGCATTCCACGGAATTGTGCGTGCTCCTACTAGGGTTCGTTCTATTAGTTGGATTCTGCCAGAAGAGCAGATGCGTATGTTCTATATTATTCCAAGTGGCTCGCTATTACACTTGACACTAACATTGTTGCTAGGAAACGGAGATCCTTCACAGGATGTTAAGGTGGCCTCGGTTCTGCTGCTTGTTGATGGCAATCTTGTTCTGTTGCAACCATCCGTGTCCGACAGCGGAGATCTGAAATATGACATGCGTATAGTTGCACAAGATGTGGAATACTACGTCTTGATGCGAGACCAACTGTCTTTTAACTTTGCACCACCAGCAGAGGAAGCAGTTCCGACTAGCCCTTCAGCCGAAGTGGTTCTGAAAGCCGCTCAGAGTAATTTATCTCTCAGAGACTCTCTTTGGATGTTCTGTGGCCGGGACCTTGTGGCTTGGAGTGATATTCAGGAGGTCTTGCGACGTGACGATGTCCCAAAACCGCTTCCTGTTCCCGTGGACTTCTACCCCTTATCGGTACTATTGAACAAAGGTATCATACTTGGAGTAGAGTCTGAAATGATACAAAGACGAGACATAACTTTTTCTATTTTGAAATACGCTATTCGAGTAAGTCATTTCTCGTCTCATTGCTAACAAACACTGATTGTTTCGCTCTTGTAGACACATTTATTTCTCCCATACTTCCTCCGGCATAGTCTAGCGAATGTTGACATGCCTTCTGCTCTTTCATTGTCTCACTACTATTCTCATCTATCATATTTTCCGCATGCCCTTGAAGTCCTCCTTCATCACGTCCTTGACGACGCAGTAGACGGGGCCAGTCAAGGTGAATCACAGAATGAGCCTCGACAGCCACTGCTGCCGTCTGTTATCTCATTCCTGCAGGCATCTCTCTCCGCCGATATCTACCTTGATATTGTAGTGCAATGCACACGAAAAAATGAAATTCGTTCATGGCGCACGCTGTTTGCGCATCTTCCGCCACCAAAAGATTTGTTTGAGCAAGCGCTGAAGCTCAAGTCACTTAAGACCGCAGCAGGCTATTTGCTAATTCTTCAGGCTCTTGATGAGGAGGAGGACGAAGAAAGCAGCAAAACTAGAACAGAAGACTATGCGGTGCGATTACTTGGACTTGCAGCCCAGAAAAATGACTGGGATCTTTGTGCCGAACTTTCCAGGTTTCTTATGGCGCTTGATGGATCTGGAGAAATGCTACGTCGGACAATCGATCGAGTTGGCCTCCGGCGACAGAAGACCGGTATTGCCATAGAAGTCAACGGCCGAAACACGCGAGGGTTAGGCTTGAGTCTCCCCATCCCCGCTGTGCCTTCATCTCTTTCCCCAAGACGTACGCAACATCGCCGTAGGAAAGGCAGTGATATGTCGTCAATTACCAGTGATGCGCTTTCTAATCTGTCTCCAATCACGTCCAAGACTGATGACGAAGCCGAGGAAACTACCGCGTCTGTTTCAGAAGGTGGAAGCAGTGGACTAGATGACTCGTATCCAGTTTCTTAGTCGCCTAAGGCATAGTTTTGCCATTTGTTTGACTCTCTTCTGTCATATATAATATTTCGTTCGACTTGATTACATTGTGCTCTTAGCGCAGATGATGATGCTCTTTATCCCTACCCGTGTACATGAACGCAATATAATGCATGATGTCAAAAGTACTCATGCTCGAAAACGCTTTTCGAATGACATTTGTCCTTCTCCAAGCGAGAATTCTTCTTCCCTTTTTCATAACACGTCCATTGTTGTTCTCATAGTAATAATTGTGATGAGATCAACAAACATATTTATGCTACCTAACTAATCCAGATTTAACTTCCAAAGTCCATCACCCAAATAATGGCCTACATCCATAGCCACGCCTTTACCCTTTGCCTTCATTTCCTCCGTCCCCATCTTAAGCGGTCCCACTAAACAAACCTCATCCTTCCCCTCTGCGCTCACAGCCACAACGTCCCCTGCCTCCAGTGCATTCTCCTTGTCCGGCAACCACCCACCCGCCGAGGTCAAACCCGGCGCCATCAGCGCCGCGCCCGAAAGCACAAAGCGAATCGCCCCTCGATCAATGCGGATTTTTGGAACGGCGTCCGGGAAGGAATGGACGAGCTTGAGGTGGGGGATCGGAGGCCCATCAAAGGGTTGATAGAAGAGTGGAGTTGAGTCGATGGTATATAAGGTGGCACGGTCAGGACTTTGTGTGTGTGTGATGGAATCAATCAGCTTTCGTTTCTCTCGTGTACATGCTTACGTAGCAAGCAAAAGGGTTCAAGACAAGATATTTTATACGTACAGTTTCACGGCTTCCAGTGAAGCCTTCTTTGGTAGGATCTCATCAATATAGGGCTCGAAGCCGGGGTATGTCTCGATGAACTTGGAGCGAAGGCCTCGTTGCACTGAGGATTTAACTTTCGATCGTGAGCCGGCTTGGATGCTGTGAGAATTAGGTTAGTTGGTGATAAGAAAAGGGAGTATGTAGCTAGCTACTGGCACGCGCACTCACTCCTTTTTAAACATTGTTGTTTTTCTTCCCTATGTACTTCCCAGATCGGTATAATAAACGTAGGGCGTACTACGCGTAAAGTACTCCTGGCCTCGTGAGAAGCTTCAATGTATCGCTCAGTCTTGTATGCTGGTGTGGTGTCCGGATTGAATTTTTTGTAGTCGGTGGTGGAACGCGGGGTAGCCAAAGTCGCCAGAGGTCAATTCGATTATTGTATGGATAGCACTTGTCTCAATGAGGAATTGATTTAGTTGTTTGATCTTTTCTAGCAACACGTAGGCGTGAATGTGCTGGTGTGTAGATTGCTTGCAGATGTCGAGAGGGAGGGGACAACGACATATGACGACTCCGGGCTATTATTCGTGGACTGCGGGGAAAGGTACGTACACTACTACGGCCAACATTTTGATGCCTTGATGTTACCACTATCTTGAAACGATTGTTTGCTATTATCAATGGCTAAGAATTACGAATCATGGCGTTCTGTTTCGGATACACTAGCATTCATTATGACGGTAGGTATTTTATTTATTATCGTTCATCCCCCAAGCGACGACTTATCTACAAAGCCACAGCGATGGATGGACGCCCCCCGAAATTACTCGGGAGGAATAGAAGTGCTCCTTGAATAAAAGGGTGCCTTGATTTAACCCTTGGCGGCACCTGCCTTGATGAGGAGGATATCGCCGTCATCAACAACGTATTCCTTGCCTTTGGTCATAACCTTTCCGGCTGCCTTCACGGAAGCCTCGTCACCGTACTCCTTAAGAGTGTTGTAGTTGAAAACAATAGCTTGAATGAATGTCTTCTCGAAATCTATAGGGGAAACGTCAGCATGGATCTTGAATGCTGTTGTGCAAATGCGACTCGTGGATTCTTACCTGTGTGGATGACTCCTGCTGCTTGTGGAGCCTTGGTACCTTTACGAATTGTCCACTGTCGAACTTCATCAGAACCACAAGTGAAGAAACTGCCCAGGTTTAGAGCATTTCGCATGGTCACAATGACCTTTGGAAGCGCTGATTTGGTCCCCAGCTTCTTGCATTCTTCCTCGGCCTCAGCCTCGGATTCAAATCGGGTTAACCTCTCTTCGAAGCAAATGGAAAGAGGGATTATAGGGTCGCCAGTTGCGTGCTCCTTGACCCATTCAGCAATCTTGGGCAGGTGCTTGTTCTTCTGGCGTAGGTAATCCTTTTCGCTCAGGTTTACCAAGTAAACGACGGGTTTAGCTGTCAATAGGAACAGAGGGTTGATAGCCTCAACCTGATCATAGTCTTGCCGTCAGCTTCCGGTAGAAGAACAAGACAAAATAAAAAGAAATTGTGAAACATTCAAACAAGGTTCAGACAAGTTTTTATCTCAAGACAACCTCAAACGTGAGTAATAAAAAAAGAGGTGTTCGACGAGCTGGGTTATATTCGAGCAATTGCTCTTATTCATCATGATAAATGCATATACGGGGTAAAAGGGAAAGAAAACATATCAACGAACCTCTTTGGGAGCCCAGTCGCCCTTACGAACGTCCTTGCCGTCCTTCAGCCATTGCAGAACTTTGGCAACGGTGGCCTCTTCTTCTTTCAATTTCTTCATTTCCAAGGATTGGCCTCCTCTCCTGGTCTGCTTGCTAAGGTTCTCCAAAGCTTTCTCAACAAACTCGATATCCTTGAGACGGAGTTCCTCGCTAATGATGTTCAAGTCACGGACTGGGTCGACATCACCCTCGACGTGAATGATCTCGGCATCATCGAAGCACCGGACTACCTGGAAGATGGCATCGACGGCGCGAATGTGGGACAAGAAAGAATTTCCAAGACCAGCACCGGTGGAAGCGCCTCGGGTCAGACCAGCGATATCGTACACAGTCAAGTTGGCAGGCACGCGCGACTTGGGCTTATACTGTTCGCACAGCCAGTCATAGCGAGCATCTGGAACAATGACACGCGCCTCCTCCGGGTCGATGGTGGCATATGGGAAGTTGGCCGGGTTACCCAGGGAGCACTTTGTGATGGCTTGGAAGAGCGTGGATTTACCCACGTTGGCAAGACCAACCTGGAAAGCGAAAGAATGAGCACGCGAGACGTCTCAAGCGCAATAATAATATAATCATAATGGACAGACATGTTGTTGTGGGCAAAAAAATTATTGTGGGTGGGGGTGCTTGTGCTCACATACGATGCCGCTCTTCAAGTTGTTTCCCGGGCGCCCCAGGAGGACCTTCTCGACGACTTGCTCTTTCTTAGGAGGCATTTTCTTGCCCTTTTTGCGTGTAGCGTATGTACGACAGAAAAAGGTAGAGAGGGTAATGTGCCTAGCACAGTGCTGGGAGTGGGGTGCAATAGCAAAGGCAGAACCAGCTGCAGAGTGTAAACGGAGGGGAAGAGAAAAGAAAGCCGCGGGGCAGCTGAGGGACGACGTGGTGACGGAGGGTGGCCGGCGGGCCGTAAATTTTTTTTTTCCTTCCCTTGGTCTGTTTGGGTGGGAAAAATAAAAAGAGCGGCAGGTCGTCAAGCCCCAAACATCAAGCAAGGAAGCCCTGAGTTTTCACCAACAATCTGCTCCTTACTCAATGGGTGCAATCAACGAGCGTGAGGGTAGTTGGCATATAGAACATCTAACACAAGATCATATCATTTGATGGAGTTCTTGTGCGAGCGAGAGGAATTGGCGGAAGAGAATTTTTTTTCTCTCGGCGAATTAAATCGACGCGAGCCTCCCTGATTATGTAATACGGCTTGCTGCCTGAGGCTGCCCAGCTGTCTCGCGCTAAGCCCGCTTCGGCTCATACTTGGCAGCAGTCACGTGCAGTCAAGTCTGCGTATCTTATTACGGTACAATACCGCTGTTTTGAACTAGGGTTAGGGCTGCTATGCTAACCGTACAGTGACATTTTAGGGCTTTGAGGTCAGGTGACTGCCATTTGCGGCATTCGCATTGCCAACTGGAACTCGCTGTTACAGGTTTAGAGGCAGAAATGTGTTTGAAGGTATGGATAATCGATCAACGAGACGGTCACATCTGCCAAAAGATGAAACATGAAAGGCAAAAGAATGTTTTTATGAATCCAACTATGTAGACCAAGGCAGCCAGCTTCTACAACAAGCAGAGAGCATTCTGGAGCATGGCTGTTGTCTTGCATGATCAAACGAATCTTCTCCCGCGCGGCCGCTTGCTTGTCGTCTTCGCAACCCTAGCTTCAGCATTTCTCCTTGCATACGCAGATCAAAATGGCGTTGCCGTCGTTCGGAATTAGTGGAGAGGATTAGTGTCTGGTGTTTAGGTCGAGTGTTGGTGTAAATTTTGGGATACATGGCTCCTTTCGTATTAACTAGTCTACCCTCGCTTAGTTGGACCATGGTCGAGAATACTTGCTTGCTTCAGCCGTTCTTCAGAAACAACAGCATTAGCCCAAATCGTACAAGCGTCTGATCAAATATGTAGGTGCGTAATACGTAATAATTTTGCATAGGCTTCTATATCTCACGTGACGATATCTCGAAAGTTGCTTCAACTTCTCCAAACGTACCTCGCCTCCTCCAACCTCGCTCAGGACTTTGATGTAATCTTCTTTTTATCTTCAATTCAATCATTATTCACACTATTCCATTTCTAGTTCACCTCTTGTCGATGCCCTTTCGGAAAACACTTTGATAAAGCGTTTGAGAGAGAGCAAGAGGACAGAACTTTTCCCTTCCCTTCAGTGAAGTGAGCCGTCTCTGACGAAGAAGTAGATATTTCATTGTATAGACAATTACCAGCTATCTAGGGTTTGCGCTTTTTATCAGACCATGGAGAAGTATTCTTACCGACAGCTTTGCTATATCCTTCATTTCTCGACCACGGTTGAAAGAACCTGGCATCCTCTATTCTCATTTTCCCCACATCGCATTCAATATTTCTCACCCATAGTCAAAAAGACTTCACTCTCATTGTATTTACTATCTCGACCATGGTCAAGAATACTTGCCATCTCCTCATTGTTCTCATGAGGCAAATAACACTTCGATATATATTCCTGGGCGCCATGTACGAGGTTCTTGCCCGTGAAAGCTTCGCCGACCCCCGGGATGACCCCCTGACCCCCTCCCCTCGTCACCTCTATATAGATCATGCCGAAAATTCCACCGTAGACATAATCGCATAGCTAGTAAGTAGTGATACATATACGCAGTAGGAGTTGATTCCCGCCCGTTCTTCCGGCTTCAATAATAATTGCTCGCCATAATATCGGGGACATAGGGGGTATGCTATGGCTACTGCATGAAGACCGGCAGCTAACGGATGCAGCCGTTAGGGCACATGCAGTCACATGACGCCTCGTCCTATCCGCCCCATTCGTTTCCAAGACCGGCACGCCCCCAATTTTCATGTAACTAAGTGTTGTACTGTGGATGGTTGTCAGCGACTTTGGTTTTCGGTGAGCACTTGAGAAACTAGTTCAACTTCAAGCTTTATAGTTAATCATGTGCGAGCGCCACCCAAATCCAGGATACGTCAGCCCCGGTTTTATTACAGCACGGTAACATGCCGATACCACGGGCGTACAGGGATTACGCACAGGGGCCTACAGCACGGCCCATGGGGAAACAAAGGCTTAAAGCAAACAAGGCTAAGGGAAAAACTAATTCCCCGGCAGCCCGGACACTAACAGCCAATAGGCATCCACACCGTATCTCCAGATATGCCCTAGTCCGGAGACCCCGTAATATCGCAGGATTCCCACCGGCGAGTCCTCCGAGAGCAGCGTGTAGGCTGAAGCTGACCATCGCGTGCCGTTAGTATAAAATGGGTTCCCCGCCACACAGTGCGAAATGGCCCGGTCTGATCCTTTCATCCTCCTGTTCCTATATACAAGCATCGTCGCATTCCCACTCCTTGCGTACGGCCTGCCTGATCGGTAGGGCACATATCTTTACATATTTCTCTTGTATCTGGCTAGTACCACATTTGTCAAGCTTTTGACCCCCAAAATGCTTTTTAGCGGCCTTCGGGGCCGTCGGCTATCGTTGGCCGTCGGCATTGTTGGTGCCCTGGGCTTCATGCTTCAGGGCTACGATCAGGCTGTTGCTAATGGCTTGTTGACGCTGGATTCCTTTGTGAAAACCTTCCCTGCGATAGACACTGTTAATACAACTGGGGCGCAAGAGAGTCATAACTCTACTATTCAAGGTATGTTCTTTCGGCGAATTCGCGAGCCGGGTTTCCCGGAGTCTGTCTAACCTGAATCAAAGGAACGGTCGTCGCAATCTATGAAGTTGGATGTGCCTTGGGGGCACTCTCATGTATGTATCTCAGTGATGGCATAGGTCGGCGTAAGAGCATTTTTGTGGCAGGATGCACCGCTATCATTGGAATCATCATCCAAGCGTCCCCTTTCACACTGGCGCAATTCATCGTGGGTCGTGTCATCACTGGTTAGTTTTCTTGTTCCTTCCCTCCTCTCCTCAACATTGATGGCCACGAAGGGCGAATAGGAACTTGTCACTAATCATTAATTGGTTATTCAATGCAGGACTGGGAGTCGGCGGCTTCACCGCAACAATCCCCATGTACATATCCGAGAACAGCAGAGCAGAGAATCGAGGAAGAATGGTACTATTGGAAGGATTCTTTGCTATTGGCGGTATTGTCCTCGCGTCATGGCTTGAATTCGGCTTGTACTATGTCCAACAGAACGACGTTAGCTGGCGCTTCCCAATCGCGTTTCAGGCCATCTTCGCTTCCGTCGTAGTCTTGACCATCTTCTCTCTGCCCGAGTCACCTCGTTGGCTGGTCCGTCAAGATCGCCTCGAGGAAGCTGCCAATTCCCTTGCTAGGTTGGAGGACGTCGAGGAAAGCTCCGAGTCTGTCGTCTTAGGTCTCGAGACCATCCGACATTCTCTTCAGGATGAAAGTGGATCAGGACGATCTCACAGTCCTTTTGCTTTTAACGACACCCGAAACTTCCACCGTACCTGTCTTGCTGTGGGTGTCAACATCATCGCCCAAATGACCGGTGTCAACATCATCACTTTCTATTCAGATAGTACCCTTGAAATCAACCTGGGGTACAGCGGGACCGTTGCCCGTGCCATCTCCGGATCTCTTCAAATATGGCAGTTTATCTGTGCCGGAGCGGCAGTTTTCCTGATCGATCGGGTTGGACGCCGACGTTTAATTATCTTTGCCGCCCTCGGAATGGCAGTATCTCAGGTGTGTTTAGCCGGCCTTAACTCCATCGTCGCCACCAGCAAAGCAGCCGCATCCGCATGCGTATTCTTCTATTTCTTCTCCTTCATCTTCTTCCCTATTGGCCTCTTTCTTGTCCCATTCATGTACGCCGCCGAGATTGCCCCGCTACAAACTCGAGGCAAAGTCACGGCTATGAGCGCTTCTGCGAACTGGCTATTCAACTTCCTCATTGCCGAAGTCACGCCCAAAGGGTTTGACAGCATCGGTTGGAAATACTATTTGATTTATTTCTGTATTAGTGCTGCGGGCTGCATTATCTTCATCTTCTTCTATCCTGAGACTAAAGGTCGTTCTCTGGAAGAAATTGATGAAATCTTCATACAGTCCAAGAGCGTGTTCGACACTGTGCGCATTGCAAAGGAAATGCCATTTCAACTTGATGTGTTGGCTACTGCCGATGAGGCTCATGGGAAACGAGATGAGCAGTTTATCGAAAATGTTTGAAATGGTTTCTGTTACATATCTAGGTATAAAGGTGGAGGTTTGTTCTTCAGATTACGATCGATATTATTGTTCTTACCTTGGTTTAAAAATCTATGCATGAACTTGAAATATCTGGCAACTCCTAGCTATCATTATATATTTGAGGTGATGTTACATTTCATTTCAGGACAGTGACAAAAGTAAGATACCATACCTGATATGGTATACGAAATATGGAAAGCAGAGTATAAACCCGTTGAACGCCTTATGCTTTATCAACTCATGCATAAATGAGCCATCCCACGGCGAGGGGCGAAAAAAAAGGGAAAAAAAAAAAAAAAAAAAACAAGCCTCCAGGCCAGTAATCTTGGTATCTCCGATATACCTACCCTCCATTGAAAGAACCACCTCTCCGAACGCCGGCAAACCAAAATCCAGTGCTTGAAAAGTATAAAAGGTACCAACCTGATGATATTAACTTGTTTCCATGGCTTCAGCTTCGGCTTCGGCTTCGCTCCCATCCACAACGCCCAGTAATTTGGCGTAGGGTACAGTTACACGCTGCAGATCTCGGTGTTTGCCTGTTTCGACAATCAAGTTAGAAGACGCTCAATATGAAAACCCTAGGATGTCTATATTTTAACATACCAAGAGCAATAATGACCTCCTTGAGCAGTATATCCCGTGGCCAGCCACAAAGGGTCTCGGAGCTCTCTGACCAATTCCGTCCCTCCTTCTCATTGTCTGAAAGAGGACGTCCTGCCACTTCAGGGGAATCTTCATTGTCATATTCGAAAATGCCACCAACGAGACCTTTCAAGAGCTCCTCCACTTTGCCGCGTAAGCCTTCCGCTCCAATTCGTTTGGCATACATAGACAAATAGAGGCGAAACTCCTCTTTAGCCCCCAAAGACAGAGCTGCTGCCATGCGATTTTCCAGATGAGCAATTGAAACACTAGACTCGAAACTCTCATATCCCTCACGAGACAGCAAGACCTTGATTAGACGCTGCAAGAAATAGGCACGGCCACGTAACAGAGTCTCGCTAGTCGTATTTCGTTCAAGGAATGGAAGAATGCCAGCAGAAATTTTCTTCTTTTTATTTTGCTCGCCATTTTGACTGCCCATTGCCTGTAAATTAGTCACAGAGGCATCTGTTGTGTTCCAGTATTGACTGCCAACAGCCCACCAAGGCTCCGAAACTCGTTGCCATGTATACATGGCTGACGAGTAAATGAACCCTTCGCCATTAGAGAGTGCAACTACAATACGGCCCTCGGAGTTTATCCGAGCACTTGTGACAGCAGGTGCAAGAATAGGCTGAGCTGTTTGAGCATGAGTGGCAGCGTCCAAGACTGGTTGGAGGGACACAGGCGGATGAGGTGATGAAACAGTCTTGACATTCCAGACATAACACATCCCAACTGCGGTGATACATAAGAGCCACGACCCCCAACTTTCGAGAATGACAGGTTGGGCTTCCAAAACGAGGGCACTTACAAGTCGACGCCCAGCAGGTGTCCAAATATAGACAGATCCATCTTCACAGGCTACTGACCAGAAGCTAGTGTTTCCCGTCGCCAACAGCGCGGATCTAGGAAGAAAGTCTTGCCATAATGGTTGGTCACCATGACTGAGGCTAATCCGCACAGGTTCTCGGTCCGCCGAACGGCCAGTTAAAGTGCCCCCAGATGGATTGCGAGCCTCAAATACAATGTCTATCCGCGATTGTTTTGAATCTCCCGTTGGTTCTGTGGGATTTCCATTCTTGTCTAGGGCTTGCAGTATTTGTGAGCGAATTTTTGGTACTGCTAACCGTAACTGACTGATAGCCATGCATGGATTGGTAACAGCTGGTCGAATAAAGTCTGGTGTAGTTTGCTGTCCCGTAACTGGTGCTTGGCCGGACGCGGGCGTGAGCCCATCGGTTGTATTTGACATTATCGGCGTTGCCCCGTTCTGACTAATAGATGCCACGCGTTTTTCCACCTGATTATCCTCGTCGCCTTCGATCTGCGCTAGTTTGCGCTTGTTTCCAAAGAGCAATGCCGGCAGTCCTCCTTTAGGCAACCCATCAAATGGTTTTGAGAGGTCAAGGACTGACTGGGGTGCATCAGCTCCAACCTGATTGATGGTAGAAGATGCCACGAGTCGAGACTGCGGTAACGACGATTCAGACGCACCAGCACCAGACACTAGCAAAGGGGCGATTCGCTTCTTGCCTTCTTTGGTATATGTCGGTCGCTGTTTTAGTCTTTCTAGTTTTGCTTTATACGGATCAGGCTTTTCTTTGTCCTTATCCTGCTCCTTTTCGACTTCTGTTGATGTTGTTGTTTGTGTTGTTCCATTTGGTTGGGTTTTCTGTTTCTCGGATACTGATGTGGATGTACCGTTTGGAAGTACTGTTGTGCTTGAAGTGGTCGTCGTCGTTGTGCCATTTACTGTAGTCTCTGTTGAAGCGTGCCCATCACCCATCAAAGCCCCCATTCTACCCTCAACGCCTTTGATTTCTCCTGCCTTGCTCTTTTCTTCTAGTAGTAGGCCATCTGTGGTTTCTGCAATACCGGCACCTCTTCGGTTTGTGCCAAATTTCGTCAAGGATCTCTCATTCTCCTCTAGAGACATGGGATATCCGAGTTCTGCTTGTTCGAATCGAATGGCGAGAATAGTCCCATCCAAGGCTGTCGCAAACAAACACTTCCCGTCCGGACTCCACGCCAGGTCAGACAAGGATTTAGCCGAAATGTCTTGGGCGACGACAATTGGCCGCGGATTGCTTGTAATCCAGACGCTGAGCGATTTATCACCACCAGCACATGCAATAACGGTCACCAGGCTGTGGTGTTCGCTACCTGATTTGATGGGTTGTGAGGAATACAATCTTGGCGAAAACGAGCAAACTTCTACAGGGGCTTCGTGCCCGATGAGGTTGATATCACCATCCCACGATCCACGGTTTATTATCGCTACTGAACTCACGGGTCCATTCACTGCATTCGCAGCGGCAATGTGCAAGCCATCAGGGGACCATGAGCAGCGTCGAAAGTATGCAGTCAGCGGAGAGCTCTGAAATGGGGCGACGATGTTGGTTTCCAAAACGAAGTTATTGAGTTGATCGTGAGCCGTGGAATTTGCTGCTGGTGAGGTAAAACGGAAGATTTTCACAGTCCGGTCGTCACTTGCTGTAGCAAAGTATTTATTCGCCGGGTCGAATGTAATGCCCTTGACGTGACTTTGGTGAACGGAAAGTGTTTTTAATTTCTCGAATGTATAACCCGACCAGACCACGACTTTAGAATCCAAACCGACAGAGACCAGGATAGAGGAGTCGTATGACCAGCCTAGGTCCTGCACATCATTATCATGCCCGATTAGCCTGCGAATTGTTCGCCAGTTCTCAACTGGTGGCGCTTCATCCGAGCCTATTAAGCGTTCGTAAGCCATCTAGATCAGCACTTGCATTCATTCCTTATCATCGACCCACAGCTTGACGTACCAAATGTAGAGGCGTGAGAGGGCGGGTTTGCGTCTAGCGAATAAACGCAGACTATCTTGTCATCCGCCCCAGACGCGAGGTATTTACCATTAGGAGAGAATCGGACAGTATGTATCGTTCCGGAGTGGTTGCTCATAGAAGCAAGTTGCTTGGGTTTGTCGGCATAGGCAGGATCCGCCGCGTTATAGATGGCTTCTGTAGACCATATTCGGACGTAACCGTCTGTTGAGAGACAGAGAAAATTCAGCCAGACGTCCATTTGGATTCATTGCAAAGATTCGCGACAAAAGGCAACCCAACTAACCTCCTGCCGCCGTCACCAAGCGCTTTCCATCCGGCGAAACGTCGCAACTGTAGACCTCGAAATCTTTCCGTTCACCTGCAGTATAATAAAATTTAATAAATGCTATAAAAAGCTCCGCCAGATAAAAAGCCCCAATCTAACGTACCTCCGTGTGTTAGCCACACAGGCTTTATTATATGCATATTGCGACTGATCGGTCGTCAAACCGAGCTTTGTGCGTGTAAAGTTATATAGAAGAAAGAAAGTTGTCAAAAATAATTGGCCCTCGACAGACGAATAAAATGGCACTTTAGTAGCGTAGTGTCGCGGTGTTGAATAAAGTAATATTTCTGCTGAGTCGCGGATTGAGCATCGCAGCTCTTGGGCTCTCTCAGAGTCTCCTGCGCGCACAACTGACAAAACGAGTGCTAGCCGATGTTTGTTTATACTTTTCGGGGGTTAAAAACACCAGGCGCTGCCTTTTCACTGACAGTTCCAATATGAAAGGTAATTGCAGAGACACGAATCCAAATGGGCTTGGAAAGACACGACGAGAGACACGAGGGTCTTGAGGCCAGCGCGGGTTTGGCATGGTCCAAGCTTTCCTGCCTAGGTTTGGTCTTTTTAATGCCGACTTTGGCGTTGGCGGTCAGAAGGGCGGTGAGCAGGCGTCTACTAGTGTTCTCGTGGCAGATTTTCGAGAAGGCTTGTTATTTTGACCTTTTTTTTGCTATGTACAGCTGTGTAGAAGTAGGAGGAAAGTAAACAAATGAACAACTTTATCACTATTGTTAGTACAGGAATCCCAACTCCCGCAAATGCTGCATGCATGCAATGCAATTGTGTAGTTGGTTGGACAAGGTAAACTACATAGTACATAGCCTGGCACCCAAAAACGCAACAAGTCTTTGAATAGAGCAATTATCGAGTACAGGAGGAGAGAGGAATATGTGAGACGAGTGCGTATGCGATGCGGTCCGGTACGGTGCGGTATGATTGGAATGAGGCCTTGTATCAATCAAGACCACTTGGTAGTCAGCTTATTTTTTTTGCTGGGCAGTTTGATCAAAGCTATCGAGTACACTTTGAGCGACTTGTTGCTTCCCGCTGTCAATATCAGCGGCTTCCTCTGTTTGCTCGATAGTTGTCTCTGCATCTTTGATAGGATCGGTTTTGTGGGCTGACGCTCCCAGCGCTTTAGCAGCGAGAGCCTTGGATTGGCTTTCGGTGACCTTGCCATAGACAGATAGAGCGCTGGCGATCATGCCTCCAATATCCCCAACGTTTCCAGGAACCACAACGGCGGTGCCCTCCTTTGCGAGGTTGCCAAATGCATCGACGTATTTCTCAGCAACGTTGAGACTCATCGCACTCTGAGCATTTTCCTGGCCCTCACGAATCGATTTTGCAACCGCATCAATGCCCTTTGCTGTGGCTTCTGCCCTCAAAAGAATAGCTTCGGCCTCACCAGAAGCCCGATTGATCTGCTCGGCACGCAGAGCCTCCGAGGCAAGAATCACGGATTGTTTACGCCCCTCAGCAATGTTAATGGCGCTCTGTCGTTGACCTTCAGAGTCAAGAATCTCGGCTCGCTTCGATCGCTCTGCAGTGACCTGGCGATGCATGGCAGCCACCACGCCCTCGGGTGCATGGATATCTCTGATTTCGTAGCGCAGGCAGACAACCCCCCAATCTTGTGCCGCTTCATTGATGGCTTGGGTAATGTTGGTGTTCAAAGTAGCTCGTTCTTTGAGAACATGGTCGAGTGTAAGCTGGCCGATTTCGGATCGCATCGTCGTCTGGGCGAGTTGAGAGATCGCATACTCGGCATCCTCTACACCATAGCTACAGAGAGGTCACCATCAGCTCTGAACGAGTGAAGCAGAATAAGAACCCCGTATACATACCTTGCTTTGTAGGCATCAAAAACCCTCGTATAGAGGACCCCATCGAGCTCAAGTGTCACATTATCGGCCGTGATTGCATTCTGACTGGGTATCTCAATCGCCGATTCCTTTAGACTCTTAACGTACGCAATGCGATCAATGAAAGGTATTAAAATCGCCAAGCCTGGTTCGAGAATGCGATGAAATTTACCCATCCGTTCAACAATCCATGCCGTCTGTTGGGGCACGAAGCGAACAACAGTGTTTGCGGGGAGGGTAGTTCGTTGTGAAAAGTATGTCTGTGGAGCTCCAGATGAGGAAGAAGAGCCGCTTGCGAAATTGAGAAGAGAAGACTCTGGCTGGACTTGTGACCGAGATGAATTGCTCAGGTTCCTCCGAGAAAGCGAGTGATTTGTCGTCGTAATGTTGGTGCTGTGAATGGCTGGAGTCCCTGCGCGGACTAGAAGCCGTGAACTGAAGTTGTAACTGGAACTCTGAAAGAGCCGTGAAGCTGACCGGGAGGTCACCTCCATTACGAACAGCTATGAGAAAATGCGAGAGAGAGAGAGAGGGTTGTTGACAAGATGAAGGAGAGCCTGAAAGTCATGGATGCGCAGTTTCCCGCTTACAGAGAGCTTCTTCTAGAAGAGGCGGTCTTGGCGATGATCGTAATGAGATGCGGAAAAATTCACCCCCGAAAGTCCGTTCGCTATACATGCTTATTTTTACTTTAGAGCCTACGACTCTACTGTCTGGCGTTTCAGTGAGTTTGGCACACACAAAATGTTCATTAGGGAGATTGTCTGCTTCTGATCCTTAATAACTAATACTAATGCGACCGTTTCCGAAATCTTACAAGTCACAAGTGCGTGGTACTTGGAGCCAACGCAGCCACAAGCACAGAAGGGAAATAGCAAAAAAAAAAAAAAAAAAAAAAAAGGGAAGAGACAAGGAAGATACCTAACAAGTAATAAGTAGAATAAACACCTGATGCCAGAAGCAAATAATTATCTTCAATTTCTCTCGTGCTGATTGACTTCATAGCCGCCCACTGGCTACATGCAAGTCAAGCATTGCAATCATCGAGGAGCGAAGAAGATGAGTTTTCCGGAAAATCTGCTCGATGAACTCCTCCTACCACAAATGCAGACATACCCTAATGAATTCGAAAGATGAAAGTGTGGTAGAATGTCGAGAGAAATAAACACAAGGTAGCAAAAAAGAAAATGAAAAAGATACAATTCACAGTATTCATGCCATGCAAAACAAGTTACGGGAACAATCGAAAGTCGAAGAAAAACAAAATAATAGAAAGAGCAGATACGACAGATAGAAACACATACAAACAGGAAAAGCACAGATGCAATCTCTCTCCTGGACGATGAGTACTAACGTCTGAACTGTGCCCCGATGTTGGAAAAAATGAAGTGAGTCGATAAGTCTTTTTTTAAGAACGGAATCCCGTTGGGCCACTTTTTGTCTTTTCTCGCGCATAATGCTCGCTAATAATCCGGTTAGAAAGGATCGAAGTATTGCTGGAGAAACTAAAACTCTATCGAGGCGGAAACTTTTAAGCCCGCTGAGCCGTGTAATCGTAGAGAAAACGGTCGCCGGATGGGAAAAGATTGAAGAATACTCGCCAGCATTCGACTTCGGCTTGCAGACAAGTGAGAACGAGAAACGAAATGCAATTGGAAACAAAGTCAATAATGCCCACAGCAATCTGGCTTTTGTGCTCTTTTCCTTCTTTTTTTAGTGAATTTTTTATTAGATCCGTTTTCTTCCCTCGTTTTGTTATCTTTCTTGTTTCAACGCATGGCAGGAGAAAGATCCGGGTGGTCAAGACGGAAACATCGCGAAAAGGATACCGCGAAGACGGTAGACCCTGTGGTTCTAGAAACCCCGTTGCAAGGATCGCACAATTGTCTTCACAAGAAAAACACTCTATTAAGGAACCGTCGAGTCCAGGGAAACAATGACGGATAAGTTTGGGATTTGCGAGCAAAACATCGAAAGGCTCATATTGCCGACTATCCACCCAGCATCATTCAACGAAAGGAAGATAAACAATCCATATCTCCTTGCTTGGAATCTCACATCAAAAAAATCAATTTGCTGAGCCTGAATATGTTTCATTGCGGTGGGAAGATCGACGTCGTATTTGTTGGCAGTAATAATGTATGTTGCGGTATCAGTCATGTATCGTAGCTGAGAAAAAAAAAAGAATAAATAATTTTCAAATGTCCTTCAATATGAAGATCATAAACAACGCCAACAGAGGCTTGTTTGACTGTGGAAAGTCTCGCGTATTTAAGCCTAGAGTGCCGGCACTCGGTTTGTGAGTTCATTCATTACCATCAAACGACAAGGGCAAGCTCAAAAAATAGAAGGAAAAATATCAGCAAACAATTCTATATCGCCATAATTAGCATTGCGACTATGGAAAGAAGGGGGTTTCCGAAATACCTAAGATAAGGAGAAGACTATCCAGCTGGATATGGTTTCACTTATTTAGAATCATTGTGCGATTCCCTGTACTGAGTATTAGCAAATCGGCCTTCACTTATACTAAGAGCATGACCCGGGAGCTGACCTGCCGTGAATCTTGGATGACCAGATACGCACAACAATGACCGAACTCCCTTGCCATTGTGCCATTCATTCATGGATTACCTACATTAGGAATCTCGTTTTGGGCCCCAACCGGCGCGTAAGGGGTGAATTCTGGAGCCGCGGAAGACAGAGTTGTACGAGAGTCAGCATGTTCATGAACGCCGTTTGACAAGCCATTTGGAACAGGCTGGTAACCATTTTGAGTAGTGCCGTTCGTCATATGGTCCTCAAATGATGCCGGTAACTGGCCGTCGTTTTGAGCTGATGGGTCGCGTTGATTCATAGGAAGCACCCACTGCTCCCACTTTTCCCGTGGGCGCAAGCGATCTTGTCCATCATCGCCTACTACGCACTCGGAATTTCTCAACTGGCGGCTTGAATGACGAAGCAACTCGTAATCTTCGGTGAGATTCTTAATTCTCTTGAAACCTGCCAGGAAAGAAAGTCGAACAAAGCCCTGTGAGTCCATGTGTTTGCGTAGGTAGAGGTCCTTGCAAAGATTGTCCACCGAGAAATAATATTCCCTGTCTTGGTCAGTGAGAAGCCCGCTTTATTGAGAATATTATGTACGTACAGTTGCATCTGAATCAACCCAATGACGTTTAATGGATCCATGTATGGCTGGTACGGAATCGCACTCATTGGGCCTGGAGGCACAGGTTGATAATTTTGATACACGGTATTGATTTCCGGTACAGGATATGCGGAGTACATGCCGGCTGAATTAGGCATGGAAGGCGATCGCAAGGAAAGCCGGTGGTTGACATGCTGAGGCTGCGTGCCATTCTGAAAGCTTTGCTGCTGTGAGCGCTGGCGGTCACCTGCGCCGAAAGACTTGGGCACAAACGGATGTTGGGACATCTGTGAGTTTTGGAAATGTTGGTTGTGTGGACCTGCACCGTACGAATGACCGCCTCTGCCTCGATATCCGCCACGGCCACGATCGGATCGCGACTCGCTGCGATCCTTTGGATGCTCGCGGTCCCGCTGATAATCGCCTCTTTCGCGATTGAATTCACGATATTCACGTTCCCGAGGGACAAAGCCATTGGTCTCGCGGGGAGCTTCAACGGGTCGAGGTGGGCCATCGAACCGTCGGTCGTGTGTGGGAACGAAACGACCGTTTGCTTGAGCATCTGCAGGGGATGTTCCCGAGCGTGGGCTGTGATCGGTTGCCTTGTGGGCAGGAGTGAATTCTGGTATCTTGGCAGAGCGAGGCTCGCGGTGCGCTTTCGCGGTAGTTGCATCTGCGGTTCCGTTCTGAGCAGCGTGGTTCTCTTCAGTAGCCTTTGATCGCGCATCAATACGTGAGCGGTCTGAGGCTTGTGGGAAACGCCGTTGCTCCGGTTGTGTATTAGCATCCGCAGTAGCTGATTTTCTCGCCTGAGCAGGTAAAGAGTTTGCCCGTGCAAGGCCACCTTCGTTACGGCCTCTTTCCGGCAAGTTTGCATGTGGCTTTGGTGGTATTTGGTTGGGCTGAGAGGATGTGGGAGACTTCGTGTCTACTGCAGGAGTGGTATTGTTGGTGTTATTCGAGGCGTGAGCGCCACCGCGACCACCATCACGACCACCACGAGCAGGCCGACCACCTCGGCGGGCCCCAGACGGAAGCGGAGTATTGAAAACCGCAGTTGGCACATAATGCACTGGAGTCCATTTCTCCCTGCCACGAATCGACGGGCTCTTCTCAGTTTTCTCGAGTTTATCGCCCTTTTCATGAGCTTTACGTTTCTCTTCACCGAGAGCAGTCTGAGGAGTTGGCCATGCAGTTGCATCTGCAACTGGTGGAGGAGCAACCTCTGCGGACTCTTCGTTCGGACGAGGAAAGCGATTATTAGGTTTTTTAGCTCCTACAAAAGTAAAAGTACCGTCCGTTAGTGTATGAAAGAGAGAGAGAGAGAGGGGGGGGGGGGGGAGGGGGAAGCAGAAAAGCTAACCTTCATCCCGAGTTCGACCATTTTCGGTTCGCTTACGGTCTTTTCCGAGCGATGCCGACGTATCAGTTTGGCTGTCGTTAGCCGCCTTCTTCTTGTTCGTAGCTTTAGCTGAATCAGAAATATCTGCAGTTGGTGACGAAGTCTGCTTAGTCGGGATGGCTTTGTTGGCGGTGGTGTTGACCGGTTTCAAAGCAGCGGCACTGGCCTTGGCCTTGGCTTCCTGTGCTTCTTTTCTCTGTTGCCACACGTTGACGGCGGGAGGAGGAGCAACCTTCAACTCTTTGGGAGGATTCTTCTCCTTCTCCTTGTCTGCGGACTTGGTCGAATCATCCTTCTTGTTGTCCTTCCCATTACTTGACTTATCAGCCAAAGTTGATGTCTGCGACTGCTTGTCCCAATGAGGGTCGGAGAGTCCATTCGCAATGGCAGGGATTTCATCTTCTTTAGCCAACGTCGATGTCGACGCAGTCCCGAAATTTGGCGACGAAGTACCAGAGATTGCATTCTTGGATGAACCTGTGGTGGTCGACTTGGACTCAGGGTCGGCAATAGATTCCGGTTTGTCAGACTCTTTGGAATGGTCTGCGGATGCGGAAGTTGAGGTTTGGTCGGGAGTCGAAGCCTTATTTGCTTCAGCCTCGTGTGTTGTCTTTGCAGGTTGTTCTGTGTTTTTGACTTGTGTTGTAGTTGACACAGCCAGTCCCTTTGCTGCCTGTGCATAAGAAAAGGTAGGCATCTCTGCCTTTGTGGCTGTAGTCGCCATTGTGACGCGAGACTTCTCAAACAGAGACTGCTTGTGAGACGTACTTGCACTGGCAGATAGTGAATTTGGATCTCTCAGTAGATCTTTTATGGCCTCGAAGACCCCACCAAGCTACCAGTAGCACCGGAAGAGTTGACCCAAACCGGACCCTTCTCAGTTATAACTTTTCCCCGTCTACCTTGGTGAATTGTTTCTCCGTGTTGAAGTAACGGGTCTCGACCTCAAGTAGATGGGCAAAGGAATATGGTTGCAGCAGAATCGTACCGAAGTCGGACTAAAAGAGATTCTCGGTTCGCATCGGCGTTCGGCAGGACCAAAGGGCGTTGCGTTCTGCAGGCGTCTTTATTCCTGACTGAAACAGAAGTAATTTAGGTTAGCGCCCTGGACGATGGAAGAAATGTAATGTAATTTAGTAGGCGTTGGATTCCTGGTGGACCCGGATGGTAGCGACGAGGGAAATGAGGGAGCCAAAAAAATCACAAGGCAGCAAAGGACCCTTGTGAAACAAACATAGGCAAACGACGACGGGAATTTGAATGCCAGAGAGCGGCTCGCGAGGGGTAACAATAGTAGGGAGGTTGATGAGGCGTTGATGGTCGGTACCTTTCTTTTTTTTTTTTTTTGTAATGAATAAATATTCTTTGAGTCAAGATCAGGAAACGACAACCGTCTTGAGAAAAGAGTTGAGACGCGAATCTGACTGGTCGAGACGGTATCGGAAAATCTCCCACGCAACAACAGCGAAGCGCGAATGCGGATGGTCTCGTGCGGAGAGCTCACGACTCGCAAAAAATTGAGGGAAAAGAAGAATAATTGATAAATGGCTGAGCGATGCAGTGAAGTAGAGAGCCGACCGGGTCACACGCGGTAGGAGGAGGAGCGTGGTGGTGGGAGAAGGGAATGAGGAAAAAGACGACGAGAGCCGTTTTTTTTAAAAAAAAAACCTTCTCTTCTTCAGGTGGGAGCACTGCAAAAGTCACAAGACTGCCTCAGACACTGTAGAGGGCGTCTGAAGAAAGACCAGTGAAAACAAATGCCCAGAGCTGGAGAAATAACAGCCACAGGAAGGAGGAGGGGATGGGAGAGGGAGAGAGGAAGAAGAGCGTGGGTGGAGGGGAGGTTTGATGAGGATTGTGGAATCCGCGACTGCTCAGGAAAAAAAAAATGCCCGTGTCTTCCCTAAGAGAATGATTAGGTTAGGTTAGTAGTTAGCAGCAACGGCGGCCAGCAACTCTCGGCTCGGCTGTTCCCTCAATTAATTTTGGCTGGTAATTTACTATCCTTATTTTCTTTTTTTTTTTACACTGACAGTTTCTAGGGTGCCGAACGCCCCGTGGCCAATGGCTTATTTCTGCAGTGTGCAAATTGTTCTGTGGGTAACTGCCTGAGGCTAGCAAGTCCACTTTTGGTACCGTCCCTTACAAGTGTAATAAATAATCATGTTACGGAGCATCCAGCTCAAGAACACTATTTTGTTTTTTGATCATTCTTCTTCTTTTAACTATATGCTCGTTTCCACGTTCACGGCTGTCGGCCCATGCTCCGAGCTCCTATATGAAGCTTGCATCGTCACGATCGCATGACAGCCTGATTCTACCTGGCTGGGTAGCCCCAAGGGCGCCGTTGTGTATGCAATGGAAAGCCACTTCATAGCATATCAGCGTCCACAGCCATGCTCCTTCTCTCACATCGAATACTAATACATAGCACGCCATGGACAACAACCCCGCAGCGACTTCTTACTGTATAGTATAGCCTGGTATAGATTGTGCCCGGTAAAATAGAACCCGCCTCTATCCGTCCGTATTGCTGCTAATAGTACTCCGCATACGCAGATAACCGCCAGAAGGAGGGGTGCAGAAAAAAAAAAAAGAAAAAGAAAAAAAAGGAAAAAGGGAGGAATAATGAATTATGTTTCTTTATTTCTATAATGAGGTTGTCTGTGAGTCCAAGGGGTGTCAATCGTGTTTTACAATGCTAGTACAAAGAGCAGAGCGAAAACGGCCCCTCAGCCACCTACAGTCAATGTAACTACCAAGTACTATCTATACGATTTCACCATCGCCGACGACGTAGTCTGGCAGAAGTGTTCCTACTAGTATAGTACTTGGACCTAGTAAGGTGTGCGTGCATATGCCATACGTACAATTCTGATCTTCCATCCGCCCAAAAGGCTGGCGTCATGATCGTGATCGTGTATATACTCAGATGGGACTAATACATACGCTTACATATTACATACAGGAGGCTGTAATCCAGCACGAGAAGGTGGCACAAGAGAAATAAATAAGACCACAAAATAGCAGCTGAGACAACAGGACAAAACACTGACATCCCTCGACAAATAATCTCCTAAAATCGCGCTGCTACACTGCACCGTGCACCGCGTCCTGCCGTTGGTGCCTCGTTGCCTTGCTGCCTCAGTACGTGTTTGACAAGTACATTTGATGACGTTGGACGAATCGAAGAAGAACATATATGATCTAAGATTTTCAATATACACAGCAAGTCCCAAGTACCTAGGTGGTCAAACTCGTAGCGAACCAGGGGCCACAGTTTAGGGCTAAGTCGTCAACGGGCCAAAGTCGGGCTATTTCGGCCATCTCTCCGATGCCGCCCTCAGCCAATCAGAGAAGACTTATTGATGGCCAACCAATTCACATGGCCATGTAAATTATTTTCTATAGACACAGAAAGATATCTTACCAGTGCCGCACTGTCACTAGAACCCGTTCCCTAGGATCCAACTCGAACCCGGCAGCAGACTGACTCAATCCCAACCGCTGCAGAAGCTGCCACACGGCCTTGCGCCTCATTCCTTCGCAAACAGCAATCTTCTCGAGCGCGTCATTTCCATTGAAGTATTTCACAAACTGGGGCCAATGCTTTTGCAAAGAGTCTGTCGCTGTCGAGTCATCGCCTTCGTTTGGTCCGTTTGTGTTGTTGTTGTTGTTGTTCCTTCGTCCAACAACCGCTGGGTCCGGGAATCGAGACATGATCTCGTCAAGCCATCGAGACTCGAGTGGAGACGCTCGGTGTGGGAACAAAATCATTGATGACATGTTTAGGTGCGAATTGTTGTCCAGATACGAATCGGTCAGGTGGAATTGATCCTCGTCCCATCCACCGCGGGGACCAGTTGGCGTGTCCTGCTCGTCAGTCGCTTGACTATGATTCACCAAATTCCCGGACGAAGTGCTTGCAAGGTCATCATAATCGTCATCGTCATCGCCATCACCATTATCGCCGGGATTATCAGCGCGCGGTTTCCCCGACGATGACGATGACGAACTTGTCTGCCCTCCAGACGCGATATACTTCTCTATCTGTTCCTTTCGCATTTTGCGTTCCACTGCAAATTTGATTTCCGGCGTCACCTTGACTCTGGAGAAAGATCGCAGCTGCGTTACCCAACCACCTCGCAACAGCCAGGCCAGGATTGAGAAATAGGTTTCCTTGTGATCCTTGCTTGGAATGAAAGTCGCGTACGGGCGTGGAGTGCCGCTCAGTGCCGACAACATCTTGGGCAAGCTAGGAAGAGTCGGGAACGCAGTGGCATAGGCCTGAGTGGCTCTTTTCAATTGGCTCAGATCACAATTCGGTGACACTGTATATGTGTCCCTTTGGTGCAAAGGTGGTATGGCCCGAGCCCGCCTCCAGTAGACCAGATGCTGCGCTAGATCGTGAATCGTGTCTAGAGGAATGCCCGATAGCGCCGAGATCTGTGCAAAGGACTTGTTGGGCCGAGAGCAACGAATGTAGTGTGAAAGCGCCGGGGCCAGTTCGCTGCCTTTCAACGCTTCCAGGATACTTGCCTCACTTTCGAGGAGAAGCAAGGCAAAATTTTTAGCCAACACTTGGTTTGGCGCCTCCATCCCGGTGCTATGCTCTGTAGTGACGCTGTTTGCTGTCGTAAGCCACATGCCTGCCAACGATGATTCGTTACTCGAAGGCAATTCCGCAATAGATGTAGTTGGGGGTATTTGGAAGTCGGCTGAACGCGACTTGAGCGATACGAAAGCAATATCCGACTTGGATATTTTATCAAAAACCGAATGTATAGCTGCAGCGAGAGAGGATTTCGAGACAAGCTCGTCATGCAGAGACTCTGCTGAGATGCCTAGCGATTAGAAATGTCAGTCTTTTGTCAAGGTATATCGGTGTTGTGATAGACGCATACCTCGCTCTCGTGTCTGTTCCTTTATTTGCAAGATACGCTGCGCCTCTTTCCACACATAATCCGAGCGGTCTTGTTCATATTTTAATGCCTTGCTAAATTTTTTGATGACATGTTCGTACATCTCCTTCAGATGGATCGAGTATTCAAGCACTGGCGGAGACATGACAAACACCACATTGAACATCGACATGGTATCCTTGTCAGCTTCTGGGCTGCCAGTGTCTTGTTCATTGGCATCATCGTCATACTCTTCTTGACTAACTATGTCTGCATTTGCCCCTTCGCCGGAAGTCACGCCGTCGAGTGTACTATCATTATCAGAAGTCGCACTTGCACGCTTTGTTCCATGATCAGATTCAACAACTTCCTCTGCGTTCCTCGACTCTTTATTGTCGTGCCCCTTGTCACCCCTTGACTTCTTTCTTTTCCTCCTCTTACTCTTCTTCCGCCAATATCCATCCTCGCGCACGAAAACGGGCCAGCCCACAAATGCCAAATCATTGATACCAATCTCAAATCGCCTCTTATGCCATGCTCGTGTCGGACTCAACAGTTTCTCCCACACATCTGACGGTAATCCAAACACGGAGTCGAGCACTGCACTAGAGCTGCCGAGAGCCGTCAATTCAGAGCTTTCTTCCAAATCCGAATTGACAACTCGTCTTCTCGTCTTCCCGGAGTTGAATGAGGGTGGGCGCTGAGAATCGCCGCCTGCCGATGAGGCTGTTGTGGAGTTGCTGTCATCCACGTTCGCATTGCTGGGACGACCTCCTGCAGAACTACCGCCGCCACCGGCACCGCTGTTGCTGAGTCCGATGGGCTCTTCGTCCTCTTCGTCAGAACTTGATTGACTTTCTTCATCGGATCCAGGATCGTTTGCGCCTCGGCCTCGACGAAGACTAGGGGAGACGAGCTTCTCGAGGTCGGGATTGGCTGGGGTGTGGAAGACGCATCGAGGCCCTGCGCGCGACTGTACTATTAGTATAATGGCAACTAGCCATGGTTCAGGCGGCCGCGCTATCGAAGACATGAATGAGAGATGAGCGTAGCATCATTAGCGACGAGCATAACGTGCGCACGCAGTTGATGTTGGGGAAGATATCCAAGAGGACGATTCTCTCGGCGGGTGTTGATTGGCCGGAAAGGTGATAGCGCAAAGTCTGTCCCCGCGTAAAACTTCATTCGATGGACGTTGAGTCAGTCTATTTAACACTTGATATACACACACACACACACACACACACACAGACAGACACAGATATATATATATATATTTACCAGAATATATTCTACTTTCCTCAATCTTTCTGCCTCCATATTCCGACTCCAACGCGCTAAGCCGTATCCATCCGGTAACGGCTAACTACACCTCCAATCCGACACTATCCAATGTCTAATTACTTAACCCTCTGTGATCTTCTCATCTTGGTCAAACACTCGTCATACCCCCGTCAATTATGTGCACACCCCCTGTGCAAAATCCAGAATGTTCATCCAGCAAATAGGCAACCAATCCCGCCACCTCTTTTGCAGTGCCCAGCCGTTTTAAAGGAATGAAGCCCGTAAGTGTTTCCAACGCACTTTCTGGAACAGCGTTTCGTAACATGGGTGTATCAATCGGACCACTGCATCCAAGTTATTAGAAGGGAGTATGAGGAGACTACGTGGAGAAGGAGACCTACGGACAAACCGCATTGACACGGATATTATAGGGTGCAGCATCTAACGCAGCTGAGCGCATAAGACCTAGAACTGCGTGTTTGCTAGTTGTGTATGCAGACAGATTGGGAGCACCAGTAACTGAAGAGTTGCTCCCGAAAAGGACTATCGATCCAGTCTCAATCTCTTTCCGGGAGACTGCGTCTACCATGTATTTCAGCTCAGCTCGGACGAGATTGAGGGCGCCTCGCACGTTGACGTTTTGCGCAAATTCCCAGTCATCATCAGTAACGTTCCATATAGGCTCCTTCCCAGATTCTCGTGGATGTACCCCCGCTGCATTGACCGCGCCATCCAGACGACCAAATTGGCTGACAGTGTCTCTACCCACTGTTCCACAGCGGTCCGATCGCAGATGTTCGCTGCGCGGCTGAGGATATTATCCGTCCCAGTGAGTGTCTCCAGTTCCTTTGCGGTTTTCTCAAGGGACTCCTCGGAACGATCAGTAATCGAAAGTCGTGCTCCAAGCTTCGCAAGGTGCAGTGCAACAGCATAGCCGATTCCAGAAGCGGCGCCCGTGACAGCAAAGACTTTACCCTGCATTGAAGACATGACTATCTGCTGATTCGGTTGCCACAGTATGTCAAATGTTGTGATTGAAAAGCGTTTGAAGGAACAAGAACAATTTCGGATGAGCGCCACCTTATGTAAGCCCGAGACTGGTGTAGACCAACTCGGTATTGTGCTTATCTCCGTTCAAAATAACGAACTCAATGGCGGGAAAAAGACTTCGCTTGGTGTCCAGGGTTACTTTTGCCGAAAATCCGTATACTTGACCATGCTTATGGCACTCATACTGATCCTCGCGAGACCATTTAACTGAAAATGGTCCATCGCGCGGCGGTCGTACGTTGCGTAACGATTGTGGCGGTGTCTTTGATGCGTTAACGTATCTTGGTGACGCAGGAGAATAATAACCCAAGGCCGTCTTCGTTCTTTTCTTTTTTCATTATAATGCAACATGGGCGTCGTCCAGTCCATCGGGCTGCCTTGCTTTCTTAATCCGCATTGTCGAAGCTAATACTGAATAGAGAGTATATCGCAGGATTTAGAATTCTCCGCTGGATCAACCGTGGCTAGGTTGGTTTTTTTTACCTCTATCAGTTCTACCGTCGGCGAGTGATATTTCTCGTTACCTTTACGCTCTATTTCATCTGCGCCTTTGCTTCGGACTTTGGCAGGAAGTCAACCATATTTTTCATTGCACAGCAATCAGAGCAGTTAGTTCTACTAGCTACAAAACTTGCTGTCTCCTATCTAGTAGTTTGACAAGATAGTGTTTGTAGCTACTGCGAGGCTTGCTCGACCGCGTAGCTCACTGAATGGCTGCAGCATAACTAGTCGAGCACTCAATCGCAAATCCAAAACACCGCGCATACCACCCTTGCGACCAATAACTCAACTCCAAACAATGCGGGGCGTGCCGAATCAAGCTACCATCGGCACGCACGCTGTTTCGGAATGCTGCGATGCAGTCCCTCACATGTTCCTCCGTCCCCTCGAAGAAGCAATCTCGCTCCGCTAAGCCAAACATCAAAGGCGCCACCACATGCGAAGCCCATTGATCTCGCCAAGTTGGGAGCCACTGCGTCCGCAAGCTCTCAATCTCAGCAAACGGACTTCGGCAGTTCAGTCGATCCGTATGCTTCAAGATGGCCGGGTGAACAGTCTGTGGTGGAAACATGAGGTTATCCTTGATGTCTCGGGGGAACAATACATATTCTGGCGGAACATTGGGTTCGCGAACTGGATTCTCCTTCATGGCTTCGAGCAGCTTGTCTGCAAGACCTGATATTATGACACCACCTAATGGATACACAGACTCCCGATCTTGTGCGTGTGTGGCGGCAGCAACAATGCCTCCCATGGACCCTAGACTGTGGCACAGAAGGACGATGCAGTTGCAACTATTCCGCACGCCGAACTCAGACCAGAGAGCGGGCAATATATAGCGATGTAACCAGATCCCAGTCTCTTCCGGAAAGCTGGAATTTTCAGAGACAGGCAGGAAGGAGGTTGTCCCACCGTACCCGGGCCGATCGATGGATACAAATGGGACTCCGAATGCAGAACTGGCAATGAGAGCTGTGTGCGCGTTGTCGGTGTCAAAATAATGGCAGTCATAGGTGCTGCCGTGAAGACCGATAATCAAGGGACGGTGCGTGAGAGCAGAGGCAGAACGTGGTGGAATATTATGAATTCCGGCCACATTGGCTCCGTTGGATAGCGAAATTTTGAATGACTGCATTACCAGTATTGAAATATATCGTTAATTGATGGGGGAAAGGAAAATGGAGGAAGCAGACTTATATAAGGCAAGTTTTGATGGTAATCTTGTCGGAAATAATCTTTGGCGGGCTACTAACTCCGATGGCCTTACACGTCTTCTGTCAAATTCTTCAAGTTTGTGACAGCAGTCGATCTAAATGCGATTGTGGCCGTATCGCAGCTGACTCTGAGCCAGAGTATAACTATGCAGCTAGCTCGTGGATTAATACTAGGTCTTCTTCATTGTCTTCAACTTGGAAAGCTAGCGAGTTTCTGTCACAAAACCTCAGTAGTCACGTGACATATGCCAGATCCAGCATTTTCGCCTTGAAGGCTTGCACTCCAGTCATCGCGACCTTTCAACAGGGCTTTATCATGACTTAGAGTCAGTGGCGTTGTACATGCTGCTTTCGATGCTATCCTTGCTGACGCACACCTGTGAGTAGCCGTTAGTGACGTTTTGTTAATCATGACTTGAGTGGGAGGATCAAAACAGATCAAAAGTTTGACATTTCGTCCTGAGATATTTTGTTAACACAAAAGATAAATTCGGCAATCCAAACAAGGCTGCAAACCTAAAGGTAAATTAACATTTGGATATGATCTTAGAACAATCAAACATATATACATAAGTACATATAACCTTCCGTAGAACGCCAGAAAATGCTGCAATCCAACCAAAGCAGAGATCATTCGTCCAGCTACCAAGAGCTAGTGTACTTCTCCTGGAGCAGTTTATTTCACGTTTTTTGGGGTTGATTTTCCCCAGAAGGTTTGTCCGAGAACTCGAGGCCCAAATTCTTGAACTCATCGGGCGCCATCAGGTTCCTAAAGAGACAAATCAGCATCTGCAGATAGATGATCCAATCACAAGGAAAAGAAAAACAACTAACTTGTCCATTCGACAGCCCAGATAGCCCTTGGCGAGTTTTCGACATTCCTCGTCATTGACGCCGCCTTGTGATTTAAGGCATTTGAGATAGTTCCGGATTAGGTGCTTGCATTCGCCTATATATGGACATGCGAATCAGCGTGGCTGTTCAAAGAACGAATTCTTCGTGGGGGAGTTGTGTACCATCGTGGTCAAGAGGGAAACTGCCTCGTTCTGGTCTTTGGTCAATCCCAATGTTAGCAGTTTTGCTTTTCGTTTTTGTTGTATCATGATGTAAACTCACGGAGTCGGCTTGAAATTGGCGGCAGCACCACCTGGAGCTCCAAAACTCATGGCGAACAGGTGTACTATATGTAGTGTCGATATCGAGAAGGGAAGCCTGGTTTCATTGAATTATGCTTCTCCGGCCTGTTGTGAAGCACGTTTTGGAGGTTGCGATGCGCGCAATCATTTCCGCACAAACAATGCAAACATGACAAACACCGTGATCAGATATCAGCTTCACAAAAGTGATGCATGCGCACCAATCATAATGCAATGAGGATATTCTATTCCAATGCGTAAAGGATTATTGATTAGTTATGCAATCATCGGTTCAACTAACTGTATTAACTATGCATGACGTCGGGCTTTAAATACGGCTTGACCCCACGTCTCAGTTCAATCCATACACTCCGATAAAATAATTCAACAGACAACGGTCAAAATGCCTATGTCAGTAGGAAACTGAGGTCTGTCTCAAACTGGCTACTTTTACTAACCAGCCAACAGGAACCTCGAAGGAAGCTGCCAATGCGGCGGCGTCGAATTCGAATTACAATCCAACACCCCCGTGCCATATCAGCTTTGCGGCTGTGGCATATGTCGCAAAATTGCCGGATTTAGTGGTAGTATAAACCTCGGTGGAATTGCTGATACCTTGAAGATCAAAAAGGGAGAAGATCTGATCAAGTGAGTGGTAGCCATAGCTCTCTCGTTGTTTTCATGTATAGTACAATTCAACCAAACTGATACAAACGAATCCTAGAAAATACAAGGCGATCAAGGATCGCGGAACACCTAACCAGCAACAATGTTCGTCCGAGCGAAGTTTCTGCTCGAATTGTAGCACCATGTTGTGGTTGTGGGATCATCACTGGCCAGAGTTGATTCATCCTTTCGCCCCGGCTATCGATACGGAGTTGCCGGTGCCGGACGAAATGGTTTGTATCATGGATTCGTCTAAGCCGGCCTACGTACGTTGGCCCGAAGGCAAGAAGACTGTTTACAAAGAGTACGGCAATGATAGCTTGGAAGGATGGCACAAGAAACACAATTTGTATTATGATTAAGAGATAAGGCTTATCTTTCTCTATATTCAGATATCCGTTCACCGGCTACATATACAATGGCCTAATGCGACAGAGTTAGCATCCATGTTAACACTAAGATGAAATCGGAAAGCAATAGATATTATTTCATGATCAGTTCTCCAAGGTGAAAAGTTTTTTTTCTTCAATGCCGAAACTCGGTAAGAACACAGCGAAATAATTGTTGTTCATCAAATCAAAAAGGGAAAATCGACGGGGGAGTTCAAGCCAGACTTACAAATCAGGTATATTTTTCTACAGTCGACTTTTGCCATTGACAATACCTAAAGCCAATATCGAAATCAGTAAAGGCTTCGCAACACGACTCGGTTCAAGGAAGAAGGAGATCAATATAGGATGTCATCTGTGTCAGGCTTTAAGCCTTTCTGTCAGCGAAATTCCACGGCCTTAAGGGGAATAAGCCAACACAAACCTCATTAAATCAGAATTTTCAGTGTAATGATGTTCATTCCGAAACGCAGTTGTGCGCTCGGTCAAACAGTGTGAATAACGTGTTCATCATGTAATGGATGACATCCTTATGGGAAAGATGGTGCAAATAGAGTAAAGATGTACCTGTAAAAGCATGACTATTAGTATGCAATATACATATATGGCAATATTCACAGTGTGTATCGAGGACAACTAAATCAGCTGACGAGTTCTCAACAAGCAATCCGCCTACCCAACACCCGCAAAGTTTGTACGCTTTGCTTAGTATGGATGAAGGGCAGGCGGAGGCGTTTTGTCCGCCCGTTCGTTCAAATTTCCTCATTTCAGGCAAAAGTAGAATAAGAATGAAATGAAGAGGGATATTTGTTTACCTATAGAAAATTGCATGTTAGCTTGGGATATAATCAAGCGGGAATGCAGTAGCGAAGAATAATTAACAAGGCCAGAAAATCAGACAAGGCTGAAACTTGTAATAGACAGATTCCACATGTATTCATTAAGTTTGAGGAATGCCTTAGCGTGTCATGTAGTCATCACTAGACAGCAGAGGTGTTGAGTGAGAAGAATTTTTTGTCAACGTACCTTTTGAGAGTGAGCAAGAAGAAGTACCAGTCGACGGCAAATCTAATCAGTTTCCTGCATGCTAGAAAAATGTCAGTCACGTTCAACTGTGTTGGAACGGAAATAACAAATATCAATTGCATCAGTGTAATTCTAGAGCTTTTTTCTTATGTGTCCTTCATGGAGATAGGAATGCAAATTGAGAAAAATTCATCACTTGAATTGCATTGCACGAGAAAGTAGACATTGACATACCTCGATGCAAGTGCATATAGAAGGCCTGAAGGCCTACAAAAGAAAAACGCCAGCCATTGAGCGTCGAAAGTTCTACATCTTCATGATGCGAAGTGATGGTTGGGAGAAAAAAAAAAGAAGCTGTGCTTTTCCGCTAAAAAACAAAAAATCTCCTTAGCGCCATTTTCTAAAGCACGTGACATTATCACTGCTAGGCTACATTTGGATTAGTGGGTCGGAGTATGTCCGCCAATAATATTCGCTGGCTGCATCAACAAAAAGGCCGATGGATACAGTAGAACCTAGCTATAAGAATGGAAGACCTCTCAGGGTCAGTCAATTTACCAGAAGTAGTTTGATTTGGAGTTGAAGAGCATTTGAATTATCAATACTTCAAAATAGATTGATATATTTGCGTGCCCTTCACACCCATATTAAATAATCTAACCTGAGGTCAACACTGATGCAGGGAGGCCGTCCGTTCGTTATAGCAGAGTTCTACTGTACTCAGAATTCTTGACACCTTCCAACTATGGACAAGAAATTTATTCATATAGCCCATATAATGAAAGTCGCGTATATGCAAGACTTAACTTGATGGGGTGTATCGGTTCCCGATTACTTATATCTCTCGCTTCCTAGACAATCAATCCTTCATCTTTCTGTCGCGTCTTTCCTGATCTCAAAATAACCAAAGCCATTAATCAATTGGGAGGGGGGAGCGGGGCGGCTCCAAACTTAATGGTTAAGAATCCGCTGTTAAGATTCCTTAGTATGCATTCATTACAGATAAATTGATGCCAGCATGTCGGTTTTTGCGGGAATGTATTTACTAGTTGGCCCTCTTGTTACTTTACAATTCATGTTCCTATTGTCGTTATTTATGCATTTCTTCTTGTCTTTTAACCATGGAAGATTGGTCCCTTACATTTCAGTGCCTCATATCTAAGGGAAAGTTACTACCTTGTAAGGCATAGATGAAAGTCAAGTTACCCGTTTACAACAAAAGATTGGTTTGTACCTCTTGTTAGCACGTAGTCATACTCCGTACTATTCGTCGATAAGCAACTACATAATGCCAATATTTATAGTACAAAGAGCTTTAGCTCAAACTTTGTAACTAATTATACATACGGCCAGGTCGGGTCGAGAACTAGCGGGCTTGGCATACCGACATGCTATGTGTTGAGGGCTTCATTCTTTGTACATTGGCTAGTTGACTACGAGCGTGGGCGTGCGCTGACTTATACAGAAAGGCTCCACCAAATTTAGGCCAACACACGTCCTATTCCGAAAGTGGAACGAGACATCTTTCAATTCACGCCCGTCAGGATGGTACTTGGAAAGAGTTCCTTTCACGCGCAGGAAGATCTGCATCCTCAAGCCAGGACAATAATGACAACGAGTCCAAGTGAAGTCTGATTTGATACAGGATATAAATACGACCTTTTCAGTGATTGTGGCGCCTCAAGGCTACTGGGGAGTTGGGCGGCGATTGTTAGAACCACGAGGAACAAAGAAGCTTGAACTACCTTTTGTACTAGATGTTTGGTTTATATAGGAAACACTGCTGTTGGTGAATTAGTTGCTTGGTTACAATCTATACTTTATGATTTAACTTGCTTGCCTTTTCGCCAGTGGTGTTTGTGACGGGGCCAGAAGTATTCGAGATGGATGAAATCGGCGCAGTTGTACTTAGTCAAAAGGCCATGGGATCGATGGATAGAAGATATAGAAAGAGCCGTCCACATGAATAGATATCTTATTGATACTAGTTATAGTTTGTTTATACAGCCTTTCACCTGGTTAACTTGGACATCGCCACAACCATGGATGGCAATCGCCCAGTCCCAGATTTGCAAAACGTGAATTCACCTCGACGTAATGTCCCATCTACATGCGTCAATTTGACGTCCTGAATTTGCCTGTATATAAATAACATAAAGCATGAAGTGATTAACATAGAAATAAGAAACAAACTTTGAAGCCAATCGAGTTAACAGCCCTGAATCCGTGGCATATCACATAAAAGACTAGAATATCGCTTTCAACAATGGCTGGCACGCGATTTAAGCTCAACACCGGAACAGAGATTCCAGCTCTTGGATTTGGAACATGGCAGGACCCTGAAGCTCAAGTGGATGCTGTGAAGGAGGCCATCAAGGCCGGTTACCGACACATTGATACTGCGCGAGTGTATGTGCAAGGAAAGCCGCCATTTCCCTCAAGAACTTGGACTTTTATTTATAACAGTCTCTAAAACACAATAGGTATGGCACCGAAGCTGCCGTCGGAAAGGCGATTCGCGAAAGCGGCGTGCCTAGGAATGAAATATTCGTCACGACCAAGCTCTGGAACCACCAGCACCATCCCGACGATGTCCCTAAAGCTCTTGACGAGTCGCTCAAAGACTTGGGCATGGACTATGTTGACCTCTACTTGATACACTTTCCTGTAGCTTGGAAGGGTGGAAATGGTCTTTTCCCCAAGGAGAACGGCAAGCCAGCTGTGGTGAACATTGATCCTGTCGAGGTATGTGCATTTACGGTCCTGACTTTATCACGAAGTTGTGCAAAACTTTGTATGGCATTGTGTTGACGACCAGGGGGGGGGAGGGGAATAGACGTACAAAGCAATGGAAAAATTGCTTCAAGCCGGCAAAGCGAAAGCAATAGGAGTATCCAATTTCGGCAAGGCCCAAATAGAGAATTTGGTCAAGAACGTCTCGGTAACTCCTGCTGCTCATCAGATTGAGTGTCATCCATGGCTACAACAGAAGGAGTTCGTCCAGTGGCATCAGAGCAAGGGTATTCATATCATTCAGTACTCGCCCTTTGGCAATCAGAATGATATCTACTCGGGTCCGAAACATCTTGGCAAGCTCATCGAGAGTCCTGAGCTTATTGAGATTGGAAAGAAGTATGGCAAGTCGGGAGCACAGGTAGCTCTAGGTACGTGCGGTCTTTCTATGAATTGAAATTGATATTTTTCAGGCTGACGGATTTATGTGCTTCTAGCATGGGGCATAACTCAGGGCCATTCGGTGTTACCAAAGTCCAAGACACCAAAGCGGATTCAAGATAACTTTCAGGGCGACTTCAAGCTCACCGCAGATGATATGAAAAAAATCGAGACGATTAACAAAAAGTTGCGATTCAACGATAGCAGTGCCGACTTTGGGTATGATCTCTTTACGGATTTGGAGGGCAAGAATTCGGTCTAAGATAATCCGGATGAAAGAAAAAACATACATGCAGAATTGGTATATAATACCTAGGCGTTCAGTCATATATCGATTATAGTTGAAAGTATGTTAATCAGATTTTGATTCTAATAGCTGTGTGAAGAATAAATTAGCCCATGTCTTTAAATATTCACAAAACACGCCATAGCACTAACCTGTAACTGTAAATCGCACATTTGAACTCCTCCAAACCCCCC